TTTGTTCTTCTTTTTCAAGATTGTTTTGGCTAATTAGGGTCTTTTGTATTTCCATACAAATTTTAGGATTATTTGTTGTAGTTCCATGAAGAATGCTGTTGATATTTTGCTAGAGATTGCATTAAATCTGTAGATTGGGGGATCCCTGGGTGGCTCAGTGGTATGGTGCCTGCCTCTGGCCTAGATATTAATAATATTTGTTCTTCCGATCCATGAGCATGGAATATATTTCCATTTGTTTGTGTTGTCTTCAATTTCTTTCATCAGTGTTTTAACTGTTTTCAGTTAATTAACCTGCTTAAGTTTATTCTTAGGTATTTTATTATTTTGGTGTAATTGTAAATAGAATTGTTTTCTTAATTTCTCTTCCTGCTACCTCATGAGTATAGAAATGCAACAAATTTCTGTATATAGGTTTTTTTATCCTTTGATATTACTGAATTCATTTATCACTTTTAATTGTGTTTGGGTGGATTCTTTTTTTTTTAAACTTTTTTTTTTAATTTTTATTTATTTATGATAGTCACAGAGAGAGAGAGAGAGAGAGAGGCAGAGACACAGGCAGAGGGAGAAGCAGGCTCCATGCACCGGTAGCCCGATGTGGGATTCGATCCCGGGTCTCCAGGATCGCGCCCTGGGCCAAAGGCAGGCGCCAAACCGCCGCGCCACCCAGGGATCCCTTGGGTGGATTCTTTAGGGTTTTCTATATATAGTATCATGTCATCTGCAAATAGGGAAAATTTTACTCCTTTTTTTGTTTTGTTACCAATCAGTAGCCTTTTATTTCCTTTTGTTGTCTGATTTCTGTGGCTAGGATTTCCGGTACTATGTTGAAAAGAAGTGGTGAGAGTGGACATCCTTGTCTTGTTCCTGATCTTAAGGGAAAGCTCTTAGTTTTTCACCACTGATATGAGATGTTCATTGTGGGTTTTACATATATGGCTTTTATTATGTTGAGGTATGTTTCCTCTAAACCTACTTTGTTGAGGGTTTTATATTAAAGATTGTATTTATTTGTCAGAGTGAGAGCACGCACAAGCAGGGAGACTGGCAGGCAGAAGCAGAGGGAGAAGCAGGCTCCCTGCTGAGCAAGGAGCCTGATGAAATGTGGGCCTGGTACCAGGACTCTGGGATCTTGGCCCCGAAGGCAGATGCATAACCGACTGAGCCACCCAGGTTCCCCTATTGAGGGTTTTTATAATGAATGGATATTACACTTTGTCAAATGCTTTTTATGCATCTATTGAAATGATGATGTACTTTTTAAATTCTCTTATTGATGTAATATATCACATTGATTGATTTGTGAATATTGACCTGCCCTTGTATCCCAGAAGTGAGTTCCACTTGATCATGGTGAATAATGATTTTGGTATATCATTGCATTTGGTTTGCTAATATTTTGTTGAGGATTTTTGTATCTATGTTCATCAGAGATATTGGCCTGTAGTTCTGTCTCTCTCTCTCTCTTTTTTTTGCAGTGGGTTTGTCTGATTTTAATATCAGGGTAATGCTGGCTCCTTGAGTATCACTTCTGATTGTGACTTGGAAAACTTAAGACTGAGCTGGCATTTAGGAAAACTTTTTCCTTGGATAACCTTATTTAAGTGGCTTAAGCAATTTCTGCTCTTTAAAGGAGGAATGAAGTCAAAATCCTTCCAAAAGAAAATAGGTAGAACTTTATTCTGAGGTTGGCTTAACTGTTGATGAAAGTGATTCAGGTAGCAATAGATTATGCTGTCACTTGCCACACAGGCCTGGCTCTTCCTTGGCATATGCTAAAACGCTTAGAAAGACTTGCTGCTTTTAATTTATGGTGATTAATGGAGAGCACTATGTGTACTTGAAGAAGTGGCTCTGTAAAGCGCTGCTTTGAACCTATTATACTTCAAAGACCTTACCTTTGTCCAGATAAAGGGTACATGAATCCAAGGTGACACTATTCAAATAATTATTACCAAACAGGTTTAACCCAAGAAAGACTGACCCTACTTGTTGAAAATGTGGTTAAAGAATGCAGTGCCATATTTGATTTCTCATGGTGATCTGTTTACTTGCATCTAAGATTCGGGTATGAATAGATTAATCCAACTACTGCGTATGGGCTTCAATTGAATTTAGCTTTTCAACTCTCTGAAAGTGGTAATTGTATCATTAGGGTAAAGGATCATAAAAAGGTAAAGACGCTAAATATACTAGCTACATAAATCAAAAATTGTTTAAGTTTACCTTTATTCTATATGAGCATACAACAAATATAAATGATTTATGTCGTTTATATTCTTATATCTTAGAATAAGAGCCACATTCTTTTGTAGTTTTGGTATCTTAGGGACACTATACTGTGGGGAAATAAAGTTCCTTAGCTTTGTTCAGAAGTTGGTAGTAGATCTGAATGCTCAGGTTTCTAGGATTCCAGTGCTCTTTATGTAATTTTGGAATCAAAGCCTTAGGATGTGAGGGTACTTTTATTTGCTTTCAGAATTTATCATGATGTTTTTTGACAGTTAAGCTTTTTTTTTTTAAAAAAGATTTTATTTATTCATGAGAGACAGAGAGAGAGAGAGAGAGAGGCACACAGACACAGGCAGAGGTATAAGCAGGCTCCATTCCATGGAGGGAGCCTGACGTGGGACTCAATTTCAGGTCTCCAGGACCACACCCTGGGTTGAAGGTGGCGCTAAACCGCTCAGCCACCCGGGCTGCCCATACAGTTAAGCTTTTAAGATCAAGAATAAATCAGAAATACTACTCAGTCATCAAAAAGAATGCAGTCTTGCTATTTGCAATGACATGGTTGGAATTAGATGTTTTGCTAATAAGCAAAATAAGTCAATCAGAGAAAGACAAATACTATATGATTTCACTCATATGTGGAGTTTCAGAAACAAACAGAAGAACATGGAGGAAGGGAAGGAAAAATAAAATAAGATGGAAACAGAGAGGGAGGCAAGCGATAAGAGACAGTTAACTCTAGGAAACAAACTGAGGGCGACTGGAGAAGAGGTGGGTGGGGGATGGGGTAACTGTGTGATGGCCATTAAGGAGGACCTTGATGTCATGAGCATGGGGTGTTGTTTGTTTGTTTGTTTGTTTTTTCCAGTTTTAAAAGATGAATTTTATTTTTCTTTGAAGTACATCATATGCTTTTTGTGCTAGGATTTTTTTTTTTTTTATGATAGTCACACAGAGAGAGAGACACAGGCAGAGGGAGAAGCAGGCTCCATGCACCGGGAGCCCGACGTGGGACCCGATCCCGCGTCTCCAGGATTGCGCCCTGGGCCAAAGGCAGGCGCTAAACCGCTGTGCCACCCAAGGATCCCTGTGCTAGGGTATTTTTAAAGTTCTTTTAATTTTTTAATAGTTTTACTAAGATACAATTCACATGACATAAAATTCACCCTTTTAAAGTTATATAAATGGGTTTTAGTATATTTACAAAATTGGAGCATGGGGTGTTAATATGCAACAGATGAATCACTAAATTCTACCCCTGAAATTAATAACAGAATATATGTTATCTAAATTGAATTTAAATAAAAAATTAAAACAAGAATAAATCAATATAAATCAGAACATAGATATCACACTTTAGGAAGTGAAGGTGATGATTGTTAAGTAAGTTTATTGTGATAATCATTTTACAACATGTATGTATATCAAATTGTTATGTGATACACCTTCAGGTAATATAATATGTCAACTATATCTCAGCAAAATTGGGGAAGAAATGGAACAAGTGAGTTTGGTGACTTGAATGTTGAAAAATGTAAGGTTAAGGAAACCTGGTATCTCCCAGTTTGAATAAGTTCTTGGTGTTAAGGCCTTGAGAGCAGAAGACCAGTTTGAGGTTTATCTGGCTTTCTCTTTTTAGAGGACACTTCTATTCTGGACCTAGCTTCATTCATTTTATTTTATTTGTCTTTACTACACTCATCTGCTTTTAAAAATGACTCAGAAAATGTTAGTTTTGAATACTGATAGGATTAGAAAGGATTTCAATTTAGGACCCTTCTACTTCTTTAGGTATTTACATGATGTAAAATAGTTATGGTGAAAGTTCCCTGAAAAAATTATTCCCATGACTGTCCTTGAAAAGTAAAAAGAGTAGTATTTATAAGAAATGGAAGGGCAGGGATCCCTGGGTGGCGCAGCAGTTTGGCACCTGCCTTTGGCCCAGGGCGTGATCCTGGAGACCCAGGATCGAATCCCACATCGGGCTCCCGGTGCATGGAGCCTGCTTCTCCCTCTGCCTATGTCTCTGTGCCTCTCTCTCTCTCTCTCTCTCTCTCTCTCTATCATAAATAAATAAAAATTAAAAAAAAATTAAAAAAAAAGAAATGGAAGGGCAAAGTAAAGTGTGCAGTATGACAATTTTTAGACTTTTCCTCTCCAGTACTTCACATGGTCCAGAAGAATAAGCCAAAAGTTGACTGATTTGGGGGCATGTCCCAAAGTGGCTCAAGTGCAAACAAAGCATTTTTTATTAATTTTAGCATAAAAACTATGGGGAGAAGTCATGAGAAATTTGTATTCTTAACCATAATATTGGTATGCAGGTATGTGTACTTAGTACATGGAAATATAGTAATTAAAAATTCATTTTTTACTTTATTTGGAAAAATATTTCTGGTTTTGAGCAAATGCCCTCATTTCTTCATATATTGCTCATGTACTATCATTTCCAGAAATGGATCTTGATGGGTCACATTCCTGGAAGCGCAGGGTTATAGGTTACTTGTATGAGAATTAAATGAGATAATAGATGAAGATAATATGCCACATTAAGAGTGAGGGTTGGTTGGTTGGTTTTTAAATCTTAGTGTTCTTTACAACTTAAGTTCTCTCAGAATTGGGTCTTGTGCCTAAGTAAAAAATTAATAAGAGAGAAAATGTTAGGATGTGGGGCAGGAGGCTTCTTGGCTTAGACTTTCTTTGACATGATTAGGATCAGGTGCAACAAAGTTAACTAACCATTGGTATAATTGATGCCCTTGCAGGAGGGAGCACTGGCAGTTGCTGGGTAATTTGAAGACTACTGTGGAGGGTTTGGTGTCAGCCAACAGTCCGAACGTCTGGTCCAAGTATGGTGGCCTGGAGCGGCTTTGCAGGGACATGCAGAGCATCCTCTATCATGGGCTCATCCATGACCAGGTACGTAAACCTCTTCTTTTTTGCCAGATTGGCTGTGTCACTTGTTGGAAAGAAACAATTGCATTAAGTTGTTGGCAGGGAGAAGATGAAGGCCACTGGTCTGTGAGCGCTTGAGGGTAGGACTGTAATATGATGATGATGATGATGAGAACAATAAAGACAATAATGATGAATCGCTAGGATTTTTTTCTTAGGAGCACCCAAAGACATATCTGAGAAGTATTTACAGAGTATTGTCAGTTTTACAATACCCTTGAGCATCGTTTTGTAGGTAACTGGCTGATTCTTGGGAATGGTAGTCTTAGTTATAGCTTAATTTTTTTAATATAAACTTCATTGATGTTGAGTTTCTTTTCTATAATATCTTCAAACACTCCAAGAAACTTTGAGTATTGATAGAGTGGAATGTAATAATACTTAATGGTTTTTGTTCCATCTTTTGCAATTACTCCATTTGCAATGTTTTGAATCAGCTTAAGATCTGGATAAAATTGTCAAGTGAGTCATTGGCTCTGGTGTCCTCCTACATTAAAAAAATCAGACCTCACAAATATGTGCATAGTCATGTGTTCCCAAACAGTCATGGTTATCCCATGTCAGTGTCCCTGGACCTCTCTCCCTGGAGCCAAGCTTGCTTGTCTTTTTCTTTTTTAATGAGAATTTATTCTCAACTAGAGTAGCAGTCACATAAAGAGCTAGTCAAATAAATAGCATTAAGGTATTCAGAGTTAATAGGATTTAATATGCTACCTTCCCTTCTGCAAATACCTGTATATTACTTCTGAAGTATCTTTAAACTAATATTCCTTTTGGATATTTTCAGAATTCAGTGGAGTTGTCTTAGGTTAGATTTTCTTTATTCAGAATAGGTTCTGAAAGTGATGTGCTCTCAAAGAGTTTCTTAATGGTTATTATTCTTTAAACACCATTCTAGGAATTTGGAGGTAGCATTGTGTGGTAGACTGATAAAAGTCTTTGGAATCAGATAGAACTTGGATTGAAATCTAGACTCATTGCTTAGGTCCTTGGGGGAAAAAATGACATAGTAGTTACATCCATAGACTTCTGAGTCAGACTGTTCATATTTTAATCTCAGACTCAGTACTATGTGGTGTTGGGTAAGTTACTTCTTTGTGCCTCTGTTTACTGATTTGTAAAATGAGGTAACACTAGTACCTACCTCATAGGATTATTGTGAGGATTAAAGAGATGATATACATGAAAAGCTTTAAAAAACATAATTTGACAGTTGATCTTAACTATTAGGTAATATTAACTTTTGAGGCTTGCTTTTCCTATCTATAAAAATGAGGATAATATTATTTACCTTATAATGTTTGATGGAAAGATTAAGTGAAATAGCATCACATTTGCCTAGTGCAGTTTGTGGCATACAAAATAACATGTTTCTTTCATTTTTTAAGTTTTAAGTTACATGTAGTCCTATGAAAAAAATAATTATGAAGACTGGAATTTATAAAACAAAAAAGTTAACCCACTGCATTCTGGTTTTTGCCTATACCACTAGTGATCTTGCTACTGAAGTTTAAGTAAAATGATGTCCATATTACCAGATCCATGAACATTTCTCCTTTGCACAGGGTCTGAAGTTCTTTACTGTTAACCATCATCACACCTTGACTTGTACCGCATTATTATCTTCTAATGTTGTAGAGTCCCTCTTCCTCTTTTTAAAAAATTAATGTTAAAAAAAATTAATGTTAATTCTAGGTACATTGTACTTAGAATGCTGTCGTAGTTTGCTTCCCACTTAATATTTTATATACCCAAACTTTCATTTCACGTCACTCCAGAGCTTTCCATGTTTCCCAATTTTTTTAAAGATTTTATCTATTTATTCATGAGAGACACAGAGTGAGAGAGGCAGAGACACAGGCAGAAGGAGAAGCCCCCCTGCAAGGAACCTGATGTGGGACTTGATCCCCGGGATCACACCCTGAGCCGAAGACAGACACTCAACAGCTGAGCCACTCAGGTGTCCCCTAGAGTCCTTCTTCTACTTCTGTGATCATTCCTTCTTAATTTCTTTCCCTGGAATCTCTTCTCTTTAGATTTTAGCTTTTAATGGGATTCTGTCCTAGGTCATTATTTCTTTGTATACTTTCCTGGAACAGCCTCATTCACTTGCATTGTGCTGAAGACCCCCAGCTAAGACACCTCTGCTGAACTCCAGTTCCATAAGACTAGCTGTCTGCTGTACATTATCATCTGTCTGTCTGTCATACAGGCCAAGCACAGCATGACCCAAAAGACAAACTTATTTTCTTCATGAGATTTGCCCTTCCTCCTATTTTTAACACTAATTTGTGGCATTGCCAGCTACTCAGTCACCCAAGCCAGAAACTTGGGAATCATGCCCACGTGTTTTACAAAAACTCAATGCAAGTTTCCCATACTGATGACCAAAATAACTACTAGATTAGTGTTGCCACAATTTAGTGGTTAAGCACTTGCATCTTGATAGCAAAAAAGGTCTTTTCTTGGCTCTGTTACTAATTTTATATTGTTATCTAGAGTAATCACTTTACCATATTACAGGACAGTTTCACCATCTGTGCCAGAAAGAGAAAATGTCCTAACAAAATAATAAAGTCAGTGGGATTCCAAGTGTAGGATGATTGATAAATTCAAGACAGTATTAACATATCTTGTTACAATTATTAATAAATGATATCTGTGAAAGCATGCGGTCATCAGAATGAAAATTATTAAAGTATATGGTTATCTGCAAAATAACAGTGTTAATAAGTGAAAACAGAGTGAATCAGGCAAATCTGTCCTACACACTTTTCAACTACAGGCTCTAATGGAAAGAATCGTAACCAGAACATCTGTACCCATTTCACTGCTGCTCTATTCTGCTTTGTGAAGACCTAACAATTAATGTCTGTGTTAAGGACTTATTTTTCCCTTTCATTTCCTCCCAAAAGATTAAGGCTTTCAAAGGCTTCTGGCTGCTGCGTCATCATGAAGCTATTCTGGGTGTTGTGCCCTTGGAGAGGGGGAAGGGATACAGTGATTCATGCTGGTCATATCTATTCTGTGCTTTCATAAGGACGTGTTATGGAATGTGAACTTATTTTTTTTTAAACAGGACCTTCTGAAAGCTATAACATCATGACCATATTTTTAGAGGGATCTCATTTTTCCTGACAGCCTGAATCTGGGCTACCTTTTAGTTTTCCCATAAGGAAAGGCATATTTGATCTTTTCTTTTCTGCTGCTTAGTTATGTGGAGACACTCAGTCCCTAAGATTCCTCATCTGAATAGGAGAAATAAAAAGAGCCCCCTCTTTTCCACTACGAAGAAGAAACCTCTTCTTGGCAATATAGGCAGCCTGATTTTTAAAAATAACAATAACAACACAGAAAAAGAACAGTTTTTCTTTTCTGAATGTATAGGTAATATATTTTTATTTGTTGAAAATTTGGAAAAATACGAAAAAAAAATTGAAGAAAGTAAGTATCACCCTCAAGTCAACATCAAGTATTATCACTCTTTAACATTTTGTAGATCTTATTTTTTTCAGGACGCCTAGGTGGCTCAGCAGTTAAGCGTCTGCCTTCAGCTCAGGGCTTGATCCTGGAGTCCTGGGATCCAGTCCCACGTCGGGCTCCCTGCTCAGAGCCTGCTTCTCCCTCTGCTTGTGTCTCTGCCTGTCTCTCTCTGTCTCTAGTAAATAAATAAGTAACATTTTTTAAAAAGATCTTATTTTTTTCTATACACTTATGTGCTTTTAAAAATATTAAGATTGTATTATATTTATCATTTTGTAACTTTAAAATATTTAATTTTTAAAGTAAACAATACATTTGTATGTTTAAAAAAAAACATATAACTATATTCAGTGAAATATCTTGTTTCCTTCCAGTTCTATAGGTAACTACTGTTTACTAGTTTCTTCCCAGAAAAGTTTTGTTTATAAAAGATTTTGTGAATAGTTTTCTTTGCTATACCTCCTGATTTTTTAGATAAATAAAAGCATGCTATAATTGCTATTCTGCACTTCTGTTTTTTTTCACTTGATATATCATCTTGTAATTCATTTCAAATCATTATGAAAAGCACCTTTTCCATTTTACAGCTGTCATTTTATAATATTCCATTGTATGTATGTACCATAATTTATTTAACCAATCCCCTAGTAATGAACTTTTAGATTACTTATAATCATTTGGAGTTAGTAATGGTACTACGGTGAATAAACCTTGTGTATGGGTCATTTTGTCCTTTACCATAGGATATTCCTAGAAGTAGAATTTTTAGGCTAAAGGGTATGTGCATTTCAATTTTGAAAAATATTGCTGAATTGCCTTTGAGGAAGTTATGTCTGTTTAAACCCTCACCAATAATGTATAAGAGTATTTGCTTCTCCATATCTATGCCAATGTAGGGTGTTATGAAACCACAAACTATTGGCAGTTTGATGGTAAAAAGTTATATTTCTCCTATTCTGAAAAATGTTTATGTGGGCCTTTTTTTTTTTTTTTGGTGAACTTTTTCCTATTTCTCCCCATTTTTCTTATATTGTTAGTCTTTTCCTATGGATTTATAGGAGTTATTTATTAATGGAATTAATCCTTTGTTTTAATGTGAATTGCAAATATTTTTTCCTAGTTTGTCATTTGCCATTTCATATGGTGTTTTTATATGCAGAAATATCTAATTTTGGGAGGGGGGCAGAGGGAGCAGGAGAAAGAGAATTATTTATTTATTTATTTATTTATTTATTTATTTATTTATTTATTTAGAGTGACTATATGCATGCACACATGATGGGGAGGGGCAGAGGGAGAAAAGAATCTCAAGCAGCACTGAGCGTGGAAACCCACATGGGGATCGATCTCACAATCCTGAGATCATGACCTGAGCTGAAATCAAGAGTTGGATGCTTAACTGACAGCCACGCAGGCACCCCTCTGATTTTTATTAAGTCAAATTCATCATTTCTCTCAGGACTTCTAGGCTCTGTATGATGTTATGAAAGGGCTTTCGCATTTCCCCGTACGATTATTAAAAATGTTTCTCCATAGTTTCTTCTATTAATGACTTGATTTTTTCTATTTAAACCATTTCATCTGTAGTTTATTTTGAATATACTTAATTCCTTTAGCACACAGATCTATTTCTGTTTTTTTATTATGGTCTGTTGTTCTTTATTTGTGTGCCATCACCACTCAGTTTTAATTATTTTAGCTTTTATTTATGGTAGAAATGGTCCCTCACTTGTACAGCATCTTTTGTTGTTGTTAACCCCCCCCCCAATGTTCAAACATTTGTCATTTTATTTACCATGTAACTGCTTCTTTTTTTTTTTTTTTTTTGGATAAAGACAGAAAAAGCCTTCTTATACAATGTGATCTGAATCATTAGCTGATTAAGTGAGGACAATTAAGGAGTCACTCAAACATTTTATTCTATTTTAAAACATCTAAATTTACATTTGTTCAACAGTCTTTGGATATAGAGCCAGAACCTTTGCTAGGAATATGGATCCACTGGTGGAGTTTCATATCATCTTTCTTGAATCAATTGTACCCATAATGCATGGTACAAGACTTCCAGTTTTATTTTCTTTATACTGGACTAGCAATTTAAGATCCTGTAATATGAGTGTAAACCCTACATTTTTAGGTGTTTGTCCTTCTCACTTTGAAAGTTGTCTTGCCTCTACATAATTTAACATCAAGTTTTTATAGAAGCTTTGTGTGGGCATAAAATTTCAGCTCCTTTGGATAAATACGAAGGAATATGATTGCTGGATCATATGGTAAGAGTATGTTTAGTTTTGTAAGAAACTGCCAAACTGTCTTCCAAAGTAGCTGCACCATTTTGCATTGTTACCAGCAATGAATGAGAGTTTCTTTTGCTCCACTTCCTCACCAGCATTTAATATTGGCATTGTTCTGGATTTTGGCCATTCTAATGTAGATATATAGTGATATCGTATTGTTTTAATTTGTACCTCCCTGATGATATACGATGTGGCACATCTTTTCATGTGCTTATTTGTTCTCTGTATATCTTTTATGGTGAGGTGTCTATAAAGGTCTTTGGCCCATTTTTTAAATCAAATTGTTTGTTTTTTATTGTTGTGTTTTAAGAGTTCTTTATGTATTTTGGATAACATTCTTTTATCATATGTGGCTTTACAAATATTTTCTCCTAGTTTGTCGTTTGTCTTTTCTTTCTCGACATTTTTGGTCACAGAGCAGAAGTTTTTAATTTTAGTGAAGTCTAGCTTATCAGTTCTTTGCTTCATGGATCATGCTTTTGGTGTTGTATAAAACAGTCATCACCGGCGGCACCTGGGTGGGGCTCAGTGGTTGAGCATCTGCCTTTGGCCCAGGGCATGATCCTGAAGATCTGGGATCGAGTCCCACGTTGGGCTCCCTACATGGAGCCTGCTTCTCTCTCTGCATGTGTCTCTCCCTCACTCTGTGTGTCTCTCAGGAATAAATAAATAAAATCTTTAAAAAAAGAAAAGTCCCCCCAAAAAGTCATCACCATACCAAGGTATGGTACCAAGGTCGTACCAAGGTCACCTAGGTTTCTTCCTATGTTATCTTCTAGGAGATTTATAGTTTTGTATTCTTCATTTAGGTTGATGACTCATTTTAACTTAATTTTTGTGACAGGTATAAAGTCTGTATCTAGATTTATTTTTTTGGATATGGATGTCCAGTGTTTCAGCACCTTGTTGAAAAGACTATCGTTGCTCCATTGTATTGCTTTGCTACTTTGTCAAAGATTAGTTGATTTTATTTATGTGTGTCTGTTTCTGAGCTCTCTATTCTGTTTCACTGATCTGTTTGTCTATTTTTTTCCCCAATACTACACTGCCTTGATTACCGTGCCTTTACAGTAATGCTTTAAGTCAGATAGTGTCAGTCCTTTTTAAAGAACAACTTTCTAAGCCCAGTGCTTTTGGTTTTGGAAAGTTATTAATTGGATGTGAGGGCGATCTGGCTGCGACATCTGTCACCCCATTGATTGCCAGGGTTGATTCGGCTGATCTGGCTGGCTAGGCCGGTGTCCCCTTCCTCCCTCACCGCTCCATGTGCGTCCCTCCCGAAGCTGCGCGCTCGGTCGAAGAGGACGACCATCCCCGATAGAGGAGGACCATTCTTCGGTCAGGGGTATACGAGTAGCTGCGCTCCCCTGCTAGAACCTCGAAACAAGCTCTCAAGGAAAGTTATTAATTGTTGATTCTGGGTTTTTTTGTTTTGTTTTTGTGGGTTGCTTTTAGTTTTGGTTTGGTTTTGTCTTATTTTTAGGAGATAAGGGCCTATTCAGATTATCTATTTCTTCTTGGTGAGATTTGGCAGATCCGGTCTTTCAAGGAATTGATCCATTTCACTTAGGTTATCGCACTAGTGAGGCATACAATTGTTAGTAATATTCCTTTGTAATGTGATATCTGTAGGATGTCCCCAATTTTATTTCTGAGTTAGCCTAGAATTTTGCCTAAAGAAAGGAAACCAAGTTAAGTCCTAGTCACATAGATGTAATTAACCAGGAGACATACCTGAGTTGATATTCCACTGCTGCCCACCCCTGGCCACTCAGTGTCCACTGAGCCACAGAACAGGGGCCAGAAACACTGCCACATGCTGCCAAGATATTAGAAGTCTTCATGACTCCAGTTGACAAAAGAGCCTGTACAGCTGACACTTATAATTGTCACTGATATCTTTCCAGTCTAGGTGAGAAACCCACTGACATTTGAGATGCCTTTTGGATCATATATTAAGTTCTGATAGAAGGACTCTTTCTAGGCTATTTATTTTGTTCTGTTGGTTAGTCTGTCTCTTAATGCTTGTGCTAGGTCTGTACTTCTAAATTATTTAGATTTCAGTTTTAACCTGTGCCCAATAATCTCAGAAAGGATTCTCAAAAAATAAGAATTATGTTTTCCTAGTATAAACATTTGCCTTCTCCAGTTCATTCTCCAGTTCATTTCCTAGTATAAACATTTGCCTTTTCTAGTTCAGGGCTTCTCTAGAGTGAAACTATTTATCTGGAATTGATCATTTCTTTGACTCTAAATGCAGCCCTTTCCTGACCTGGGTAGCATGGGAAAAGCAGGTCTTTCCTTACTTGATTTTGCTGTAAGAACTGAAGGCATTCATCTCTGATTCTTAGCAAATAACTTTAACTCTTCACCAGTTTTAAGATTTACCTTCTGGGGCTAAATGGTAGAGAGATGAGGGAGAAATCAGATTATTTTCATTGTATAACTTTCTATATCATATGCTTGCATTGCCTGTCCAAAAGAACAATTAAAACAATTTTTAACAATTATCCTTAAAAAGAATGAATAATATATATATATATATATATATATATATATATATATCCTTTTGATTGCTGCTGAGAACCTTTGTTGAGGCAAGGAAGGTTAGGCTTTTTTTCCTCCTCTCTTTGAATGTCAACACTAGAGCTAAATTTGATCTAAAATGGTAGTGATTTCTTCACCTTCTGTGTTCCCACAGCAGGTGTGTTGCCGCCAGACTGATTACTGGCAGTTTGTGAAGGACATCCGCTGGCTCAGTCCCCACTCAGCACTTCATGTGGAGAAGGTAAGAAGTGAAAAGTAACCGGAAGGCTGTGGTGTTTGATGTTCTGTCTGAAGGGTTTCCTAGGCTAGAAAGACGGTGTGTGTCAAGTTTCCTGTTAACTGAGGAAAGAAAGTTATTCCTATAGAACTAATTTGGAGGGAAGGTATTTGCTTTAAAACATAAACCATGTAAAGCCATTGCTTCAGGCCATTTTCTCTCCTCTGGGGAAGGGGGTGAAAAAAGTTTTGTTATTTTCAGAAGACCTGCATATTAGGACCAGAATGAAGCTGTTCAGAATCCTAGGAAAATGGCACGAGGTTCCCTACAGTGCTTGGGGAAGTAAGATTGGGATGCTTAGCTCAATGTAGTACCTTTGATTTCCAGTTAGGGCAATAGCTCGTGGAGGCTAGTGACTTGGCCAAAGTTACACAGCTAGTTCCAGATCAATACTGCCAAACGTATGTATCTATTTATTTAATTCTTCATTATGGAAGATTTCAAATACATAGAAAATTAAAGAGAGTAATGTAATGAACCCTCAAAATATCTATCACCTGTCTTCAGTACTTGTCAATACAAGGCCAGTTTTGTTTCATATATATCCCACCCACTGCTAGGTTCATTGCTGAGATGATGTCAGGAAAAGTACTTTGTTTTCAAACAATCAGGGAACCAAATCGCAGGGTGTCAAACTGGCCTCTTTTGTGAGAAAAATCCAGAGCCCAGTGTTTTTCTTACATAGACTTTCTTTGTCCTTCTCACGTAATTTATCTTACCACCACTCCCCTTTACCTCCAACTAACTTCCTTTTCTAAAATATATTGCTGTAGTCATTTCCACTTACAAGCTGCCTAGGAGACTTTGCTTTTAGAAACAGCCAACTAGAAGGAGGTTCCAAATAGAGGATGCTCTGACTAGGGCCAAAACAAGATGCTCAGATGACCTCTCTTTGGTGGAGAATCTTTTTTTTTTTTTTAAGATTTTGTTTATTTATTCATGAGAAACACAGAAAAGAGAGAGAGAAGCAGAGACACAGGCAGAGGGAGAAGCAGGCTCCATGCAGGGAACCCGACGCGGGACTCAATCCCGGGGCTCCAGGATCACACCCCAGGCTGAAGGCGGCACTAAACCACCAAGCCACCCAGGCTGCCCTCTTTGGTGGAGAATCTTAAATGGCATCTTCCTTGTCCCCAGATTTTTGTTGCATTATGTTCTGGAGGCCAACTGAAATGAAGAACTCTGAGAGAAGCCAAGAGGTCGAGTTCATCCTTCCTCTGAACACTCCAGGCTAAATGTCTCTTTGAAGTTAGGACATAAAGAGACAGATGTAGCAGCTTTGTTCTCTCTTAGAGCCGCATATCAGGTCTTAGCTGCTTCATTCCTCTTCAGTGGTCCAGTGCAGCAGTGGAATCACTGATCCCTTGCTTCCCCTCCTCCCTCAGTAATCTCTAGATGCTACCCAGAGGAAAAATCCCACTTATCACTTCCTCTTACCCATCTCCATTTAGTTTTCTGGTCATTAGGCCTCAGTCTTGCTGTTTTTACCAGGATGCATGTTGTGACCCATCCTCTTTGCCTCCCAGTTCATCAGCTTACACGAGAATAGCCAGAGCAGCACCGATGGTGTGAGTGAGCATGCTGTTGCTGAATTGTGGCTGCAGCACAGCTTGCAGTGCCACTGTCTCTCCGCCCAGCTCCGACCACTGCTCGGGGACAAGCAGTATATCAGAAAATTCTACACAGGTATGTGACGGTCACTTAGTCAAGATTGTTGCATATACTTTTTCATCTCTTCCACTCTCCTCTTCCTTTACAGACTGACTCTCCCCCAGAGCCCCATATACTTCATTGGGTGCCCTAGAGATTCTAATCAGAAACATGCATCCGGTCTTCTCCTTTATGTGTAAAACACAATCCAACTTTATGCTAAGGTACTCCCCTGCTCCCAGGGATATAAACCGATAAGAATAACCACCATTTACTGAGCGTTTCCTGTGTGCTAGTCACTGTTACATGCTTTTTATGCATATACTCTTCCCAATAGGCCTGAGAGCTGGGTATTAATACCTCTGTTCTATGGCGGAGAAATACGGAGGCAAAAAATAAGGAAAGAAGGTGTCACCTAAAAAGAAGGTATCAAGCTCTGGGAGCTACTGCTTTCAGTGGGCAGGTTTCAGCCAGCAAGGCACTAGCAGGAGATGGGAGGGCATGAGCAAGGGGAGAAGTCAGAGGATTTCTCCCCCTCCCTGACTTTCCCAGTTGGATACCAGCAAAAAGGGTCTTGGGAAGACACTACTTTTAGGACTTAGCATCTCTGTGGTACAGGGAAAAAAAAAAAAAAAGAAAGAAAGGAAGAGAAGGAATGGATCAGTGGGCAGAGAGGCCTAGGATTAGTCCCTGAGTAAAAGTATTTCTGTAAGAAACTTGATATAATAACTCAGATAGATTGCTTTTGGCTTGTCTTACAAATCAGGAATATACATGGGGGAACTGGCAGGAAGTCCATTTTGGCTGTAGTTTTAAGCGCAGAAGCTATTCTTTAGCATTTCTTGCTGATAGATTTTTTTAATTTTTTTGCCAGGCTATCTTTTGTATCTATTCCTTATATTGGTTCAAGATAGGAGGGAGGAGACGGGGGCCTTATCAACCACCAAAAATCTTCAACAAGTAATTTGATCATGTTTTGGGTATGCCATTTGGAGTCTTGCCAGTTGTAACAGCAAGAGATCTTTATGGCATAGAGAACTATGGAATCTACAAAATGTGGAAAAAATATTGGACTATAAAGCGGAGTGAAATAATGTATCTAGTAGCAGCCTTCTGTGCTTCTGGAGTTCTTCCTTCAGCTGAGTGACATCATCCTCAAATTCGTGTCTGTTACTGATCTTGATGCCTGACCTCAAACATTGCATGGAGAGTTATCACGGTTAATCTGATGGCATAAACTTCTTTTATAATAATAAAATAATACAAATATAAAGATAATAATAGTAATACACCTGTTTTCCAGTCAGGGAAGCAGAGCCCAATGAGGTTAGGTGACTCGGCTAAAGTCGCCTAGAGACAGGATTCAAAACTTTGTGACTTTGAGACTTTGAAGCCCCCTTGTCAAGGCCTATTACACTGCACATTACTTAGCCTCTCCTATACTTAATATGTCCCTGATTCCACTCCCCTGCAGCGGCATGAATCTCCTCAAGACATTTTTACCTTTTGTCTCTTTACTTCCCTGAGCCTCTCCCAGGCTGTACAGGGACGCTAACAATCTCCCTGTTGGGCTCCATCACAGCAGTAGCATTTCTCTCCCCAGATACTGCTTTCCTGCTAAGCAACGCCCACGTCACGGCCATGCTCCAGTGCCTGGAAGCAGTTGAACAGAACAACCCCCGCCTCCTGGCTCAGATTGATGCATCTATGGTAAGGGGGCATGGAACCATCTGTGTCTGTGCTAGGCCCTGGACCTTACCATGATATAACCCTTTGTTGCAGGCTATTTCTTTGCTTAGGCAGTTGTGAACTGAAAGGCTTTCATTTAAAAAAAAAAAAACAAAAAAACTAAAACTTGGAGAAGGGGAGGTACCATTAAGTATCTATTGAAGTAAAAGGTCTAAGATCTGTTTAAGGAGGGAAGTGTCTGTTTTTTAAACCCCATTGTAAAGAGGAGCCTTGACAAACTGGGGGGAAGAGGATGATTTTGCATCAGAAGTAGGATTTACAGTGTCATACCTAGTATGACCTAGTGTTACACAGGATTGGATCACCTTCATCCTTGAAGTATAAAGAAAAATTTTTTTTTAAAAATTTTATTTATTCATGAGAGACACAGAGAGAGAGAGAGGCAGAGACACCGGCAGAGGGAGAAGCAGGCTCCATGCAGGGAGCCCGACACAGGACTCGACCCCAAGACTCCAGGATCACGCCCTAGGCCAAAGGCAGGCGCTAGACCACTGAGCCACCCAGGGATCCCCTAAAGAAAATTTTTTTGCTTGATATTGCGTATCGGCAATCCTCCAGTTCACTCAACCCATCACTAATATCAGTGCCTCAGCTAGAAAGGAATCACAGTCCCCACTCCTTTACAGGAGGGATTCCCTGTCTCTTGGTTTTTAAATTTTGATTCTTAGCGACCACCTGTTAAACACTTTCTGTGTTACAGGCTTGATTTAGGCACAATACATGCTTCGTCTCATTTAATTCTCATACCTCTATAAGATCGACATTAATCTCATTTTATAAAGGAAGCCAGCTGGAGGACAGAGTAGAGAAGTCTTTTGCTCCAAGTTTGTAAGTGGTAGGGCTCGGATATAAACCCTGATCTATCTGATTTCTGCTTCTGTGCATAGTCTTAAGAATTTTGTTGTACTGCCTCTATAATAAAGCATTTCTGGTGTACTACCTAGGATTCCAATTTCAGAGGCTGTGGTGTATGGCAGGACTTAGAGATTTCAAAGTTGTAGCTCTGATAGAGCAGTAGAGTTGTATGTCATACCTACAGGCTCTGGCCGCAGTCCAAGCCTGCTGCCAGAGGTCAGCTTCTACTAGCATTTCTGTAGTGCTGAATGCTCCTCCTCCGAGCTCCCCCACCCCTCCAGCCTCAACTCTGACACGTGTTTCTTTTGTAGTTTGCCAGAAAGCATGAGAGCCCGCTGCTGGTGACAAAGAGCCAGAGCCTGACAGCCCTGCCTGGTTCCACATACACCCCTCCGACCAGCTATGCTCAGCATTCCTACTTTGGGTCCTTCTCTAGCCTCCACCAGTCCGTACCCAACCACGGCTCAGGTATGGGGGCAGGAAGGGGTAGTCATGACATGAATGCCCAACCCTGGAAAGTAGGGGACATTGTGGGTGCACACAGGAGGTATAGAAAGAGCCGTGGGTTGGTGCAGTTTGTCAAGTTTCATGTCTTTAATGGACATCTTAAAAAGTTAGATGGTGACTAGCCTAAGATCAGCAGAATCATTAAAGTAATAGAGGAAAGAGATGTTTTTAGATTCTCCTGGATCTCTAATCCATATTGCAAGAAAGCATTTCAATAATAGTAGTAATAATAATAAGTGAGGGCCTGCCATGTGCCAGGCTCTGTTAGAGTCAATTTATATGTATTACTTCATTTGATCCCCAAAACTGTCCTACACAGTAGGTGTTGTTACCATTGCTCATTTTACAGATGAGAAATGCATACTAATAAGTGATGAAGCCACTGTGTCAAGAGCCCACGCTCTTACCTTACCTTACGCGGCTTACCTGCTTCTAAGCGATTTTTGCTTACCTCGCATGGTGAACCTTTTCTGAGGTGATACCACGTGTCCTGGGCACCTAGTAATGATAGGGAGTTTGGTCCTTAGTTGTAGAGAAACCCTACATATGTACCAAGGATTTCCAGCTCATCCTTTTCTTCTCTTTCTATATCCTAGAAAGAAGATCTACTTCCTTTTCACTCTCTGGCCCTCCCCGAAAACCTCAAGAAAGCAGAGAGCACGTCTCACCGGCACAGGATCAAGCCTTCCAAGCCTCCCTGCTTCCAGTCTCTGCATTAGCCAGGGATTCCTCCTCAACCCCAAATGAGATGAGCTCTAGCACTCTGACCAGCCCCCTAGAAGCATCCTGGGTCAGCAGCCAGAATGATTCCCCAAGTGACGCCAGCGAGGGGCCTGAGTACTTGGCCATTGGCAACCTGGACCCCCGAGGCCGGACTGCCAGCTGTCAGAGTCACAGCAGCAATGCTGAGAGCAGCAGCTCCAACTTGTTCTCCTCCAGCAGCTCGCAGAAGCCAGATTCTGCTGCTTCTTCCCTAGGCGAGCAGGAAGGAGACGGGCAGAGCCAGCTGTCCAGCATCTTTCGCAGGTCCAGCTTCTCGGAAGGGCAGACACTCCCTACCACCAGTGGAACAAAAAAGAGCCACACTCGCTCCCATTCGGATACCAACATTGCCTCCAGAGGAGCCCCAGGTAATGCTAGTCACCAGCCCCTAGTTAGTAAGTTATGTTTCTGATGACATGATGGGGTGTCCTGCTTGTAACAAAAGAGAGAAGTTCCTCGTGTATTACGAATACCCAGGAAATCTCTCTGAGAATATCTATGTTTGTGCCTTTATACGTTGCCAAATAGTAAATGTTTTCTTGGGTTCTTTCACCACCTCCTTAGCATCAGAGGACAGTGTGACTTGTCACAGTTTGAGTTTTTAAAGTTTCTCTCAGACAGAGGGGAAATGCTAATGAATAATCCCATTACATCCCTCTCCTTTCTGTGATTCCTGAGAAGTGTGGTCAGATGTAATAGCAGTATAAGAGAGGCAAAGTGGTATTGGGGTTTCCTTATGAAAACTAGGGATATACGAGTGTGGGAACAAGTAAGTGGGGCTGATTGCTGCTTCACTAATTCTGGTTGGAGGGCAGCCCGGTAGAGAGGCCCTGGCCACCTCAACCTCCCTCACACAAATCCCAGCTGCTAGCAGAGGGCACCCTCGGCACGGGAGAGGTGGGGATCATTGCTTTTGCCATCTCCCTGCCATCTTCTGTCATGGGTTGTTAGTTCCAGCAGGCTTTGATTGGGTTTCATTTGTAAGAGAACCTCCACAACAGCAAGTATAACGTGGATCTCGGTGCTTAAAGCCACTTCTGGGTAGAAAAGCCCCAGAAATAAAACAAAAAATTGTAAAAAAAAAAAAAAAAAAAAAAAAAGGAAAAAGAGGGAGATTTCCTTTAGCAGCTGGAGCTGCCATTGATTTCTCATTGTAGTTTCTAGAAAGATGAGAGCTGAGGCCCTCACCTGAAACTTCCAAGTGACAAATTTTTTTTCCCCGTTTTTCTACTCAAGATGTGGTTTGGCTTTTGGAACTCTCTAGGAAAAAACAACAACAACAACTCCAAATCAAAGCCTGTCTTCACACAAGCTTTCTTAGATGTGAAGAGTATTTGAGTTAGCTCCTTGCTTCACATCAGCTGCTGCAGGCCTGCTGTCTGCTGTACTCTAGGCCACTGGGCTTTGAGCATGGAAAACCTCCCTGCCCCCATTCTTGAATCCACGTGGATTCCAGAAACCACGGTAACCTGCTTCGGAAAAGGGAGCCAGAGAAAACCTAAGTCAAAGGGTCTGAGGGAGAGGGGGTCACGTGTAGCTCCTCATGAGTCAGCTACCTCAGTTCAGTTGCTGAGTTCTTCAGCAGTAGGGTTCCCCTCTTGGCAGTTGAGTCCCCACGTCTGCTAGATGAAAGGACGCCCTTTTTCTCACTGTCTCTATTCTCATTTCCTCTGTTTGGACTCTCCTCTGCACCTGTCTGTCTACGTACAGGAGGCCCCAGGAATATCACCATTATAGTTGAAGATCCCATTGCAGGTTTGGGAGCCAGTCCTTTCTGTCCACCACCTCCTCCTCCTCTGTGACCATCTTGCTTAGTTCAGAACCTCCTTTTCCATTCTGGTGTCAAATCAAGTCTGGCTAGTCTGGCCAATCCTGCTGTGATTCTTGGACCTGTCTCTAAAATGGCAGAGACATTTTGCATAATACGTTTCCTGCCCGTGACTTACAGATGCCGCATTTAGTCTCCCAGCAGCTTCTGGGAGGCAGAGTCCAGATTTATCGATCGTGTTTTGCCCAAAGGTGAAAGCAAAGCCCGCTCTTTGTCTAAGGCATCATGTTGAATTAGTGGCAGAATTTTTTTTATAACTGAGTACTTACTGTGGATTACTTTATTTTCCTTGAATTAACACCAGAATGTGTTAACACCTTCCCCTCCCCCCCGTCCTGTGGTCTTGGATGTGGATGCATGTTTTTTGCCTCTCCCAGAGTCCCATTTCCTTTTCTTTCGCCTGCCTTCCTTCCTCTATAAGTCCCATCCCATCCCCATTCCAGTCACTGTACAGGCTTTTTCTAGTGACTTCGGTCGTTTCTTTCGTTTTCACGGTGGTGTTGAAATTAAATACCGTGTTCAATTCTGGGTTCGTGGAGATATTAATAGTAGAAGACAGAGTGGTCAGGTGAACCGAAAGCTGCGGCCTCCTGGTGATGAGCGAAGCCACCGAGTATGTTAGCTCGGAAAAGGGAAAGTTAAAGAGGAGGTAGGACGGCTGTTTAGAAGGGCATTGCTCTTCTTAAGGAGATGAGAAATTGTAAGAAGACCCAAGAGAATGTGAGGAAATCTAAGAATTAGAGCTGTTCATTTTGAATGGGCGACATCTAGAGGTAGTTAGCTCAGTAACCGAAGTCTGGGTGGCCTTTACGTGCCGTGAGGAGCGGAGTGCTGGAGTTGGAGTTTGTGTTGTGCACTGGATTTGACTCGGGACCTCAAAGGCCCCCTGCAAGTCATAGTTTCTTAGCGAGGCATCCTGGTGACTCTGGCTTGTCTAGAGTTCAGTAGTGAGGAGGAGAGCCCAGTGCCAGGACCAGCAGAAATCTCTGAGACCCAAGGAAAACGCAGCTACCTCTTACCACATAGTAGGTAACGAGAGGAGCAGCTGACGGGCTGGCACCATCTGTGGGGGGTATGGGTTGGGTGCAGCTCAATCATTCACTCTCCCAGAGCATCCTGCTCACTTCCCAGGCACCCACCTGCTTTTCTGCCTTCCTTCTGTAGCACTGGGAGTTTAGTGTTTTCCTTTGGAGAAGAATATCAGTTTCTCATTTCCTGCAAGCCCTGCCTGCTGCTATTTCTCTACTCCTCGTTGTTCCTTGAAAACTTCTACACAGCCACTCCTACTTTGCCAGGCTTCTCTTGAAACTTCTCCCTCCCTTCTCCAGTCAGGCTGGGCCTACAGCCCTGTGGCCATCTGAGCCCTGTGGCTGCAGGGCCATCGTCTCGGCTTTTCTAGCATTGTCTGGATGCTTCTCTTAAGGACATTGCTGGATTTTTTGTTTTTCACCTAATTCAGAAGTGGGTTAAATATGTAAGTATGACAAACTTCAGGTTCAATAGAGGCTTTATCCCAGTATTCCTAGTGTAACCATTCTGAGACTATTTAAAAGCCCAGTGTCCAGATGTCAGAAAAGTTTCAATGTGCTTATCTTTGTTTTACCCTGTGAGGACTGTTTTCTACATTGGTTTTTGTCAAGAGCATGGAAATTGGCTAATATTCCTAGCCAACATTTGGCCAGAAGATAGAAGAAAAAAGAACTAAACTCATGAGTTCATTTTGATTTGATTCTTTTTCACCTTTGTGTTGCTGCATTCTGGGTCATAGTTTCTCTTTCTTCTTAGAATATAGGGACTCACCATCTCCTTTCCTCCATGTGTTCCTGCATTCTTGGACTGTTCCCTGTTGGTGTGCCACCCCTCTCCTGTTTGGGAGGGCATCGGGAATGGGAGCATTTAAATGTTGAAACTCCACAGTTGGGAATGTACATTGTTGCTCACCTCGTATGTGTGTTTTTACTCCCTGGTGGCCACTGACACTAGAATCCTGCAATGATAAGTCGAAGTTGAGAGGCCCCTTGCCTTACTCTGGCCAAAGCAGTGAAGTCAGCACACCCAGCTCTCTGTACATGGAGTATGGTGAGTACTAGGAAGGCCAGGGCTGCAGCTGTGTCTTTTCTCAGCTCTCCCTATGTGCCTACTAAGCTCTGAGCTGTCTGGCTCATGTCAGCTCCATGGAGGGTACACACCGTACAGTCTCACCCTTCCTCTCATTATTTACAGCCCCCGTGCTAGAAATCACACTGTCTTGCCATTGCTCTTGCTCCTTTCTGAATTAGGGGTCCCACCCTCTCTTATGCTGTGGGTGTTATCACCATGACTGTCTGTTGATCCAAATGGATGGCTCTCTGAGTGGGTGAGAGGGACCATGAAAAGAAGCCTTTGGTATTGGGCCAGGATTACCAGAAGATAAGCTCTATGTGGAAATAATCCACAGGAGGTAGCTATTTGTTCCCTTGTCAAGGTTCTCAGCACTGGGTTTTTGTTTTTGTTTTTGTTTTGTAGGGTAGGAGGGCAAGTAGGTCATCTTTAAATTTTGATAGTGCAAGGATTGTCTCTGGGCTCTCTTCATTTACTCTATTCTTTAACCAAGAGGCTTAGTGCTCTGAGATTCTGAGATTCAAAGAAATTTCTTTAGAAGGTAGACATCTTCTTTCCAACCTGTTACCTGGGAAAACTTGGGAACATCTTTAGTGGTGAAATCATCAGCCTTCTCAAGAAGCTTGTCTATTACAGATTTGCTTTCTAAGTCAGAATTTTTTACATTCACATTCTGTTTTCCCACAGAGGGTGGTCAGTACCTGTGCTCAGGGGAGGGCATGTTCCGAAGACCATCAGAAGGACAGTCCCTCATCAGTTACCTGTCGGAGCAAGACTTTGGAAGCTGTGCAGACCTGGAAAAGGTGAGGAATCTAAGGGGCTACTGAAGAGCTTGCTCATGAGTTGGGACATCTGGCCTAAGGGGCTGTGCGGCCATTTGTTCGGAAGAGGTTTTAGGTACATAGTTAGAACGTGAGCAGAGACCGTGGGTGAAGTAAGTGCAAAGTAAAGATAAGCTCAACACATTCAATCTCTAGAGAACTTTTCAGGGAGTATATGCTCCTCACTGAGTCCAAAATATTACTGCTTTTGCATTAGCAGCTACCTTGGGCGCAGGAGTATTGAATTTTAGCCACATGGTTATTGTATCCTTGGCCCTTGAACCTTAGGTAAAAGATGTTTCCAGAATTAACATCTATATTTTGTTATAAGGCTCAGATATGTGGGACGCCTGGGTGGCTCAGTGGTTGAGTGTCTGCCTTCAGCTCAGGGCGTGATCTCAGTCTGGGATTGAGTCCTGCATTAAGCTCCCTGCGAGGAGCCTGCTTCTTCCTCTGCCTATGTCTCTGCCTCTCTCTCCATGTCTCTCATGAATAAATAAATAAAATCTTAAAAAAAAAAAAGACTCAGATACGTAATGAATAATGACCCTATAGCATTTTAGCACTTAGAAACACTTTATCCTGAGCTATTCCATTTACCTTAATATTTTATTTATAGGGGTATGGCTCTAAGAAAGACCCTGATATTAAATTCTGGACTTCTTCTCTATCATATTTTTATGCAGAAAGTAGGACAGGCATGAAAAGAAAAGAACATGCATGTCCAGGCATGGAAGGTTTGAGAATAAACAGAATATAGAACAGGTTTTCTGGCCATCAGCTTTTCTTAGAGTAGAAGTGTTCATTTCCGCTGAATAAAAGCAGTGCATGTCATAGAAGCTGTACTTGCCAGCATTACAGTCAGTGAGATGTTCAGCACATCTAGCCCCTTGCTAATCAACTTCTTTGGTGCTCTCCTGCCCCCCAGGAGAATGCCCACTTCAGCATCTCAGAGTCCTTGATTGCTGCCATTGAGCTAATGAAGTGCAACATGATGAGCCAGTGCCTAGAAGAGGAGGAAGAAGAGGAGGAAGACAGCGATAGAGAGATCCAGGAACTGAAGCAGAAGATCCGCCTTCGTCGCCAGCAGATCCGCACCAAGAACCTACTCCCCGTGTACCAGGAGACAGAGCATGGAAGTGAGTGAGGCTGCGAGCCCCTCAGTTCTGCTTCTGCAGGGCTTCAGGATAAGCGTTGGTGCCTAGTGAGCTTCCTTTTGTGTCTCACTTGGAGATATCATAACCAAGCCAAGGGTTCCTCTGCTATCGGAAAGAGTTTTTTATGCTGTTCTAATTTTTTTCCTACCAGACCCAGAGCTCTAGAGTTCATCCATTTCTTACCTCAGAAATATCTTCCAAAAAAATAGATTTCTTATATGAGAACTAAGACTGCTGGTCCCAGAGTCACTTCCCAGTAGTACCTTCTATTTATTTGAAACTTTCAAAATTTTGTAAATAAAATGAACAACTGACAAGAAGAGCTAGTGCCCATTTCTCCCAGCATCTTCCCGGCCAATGTTCCCAGTCATACCAGGTCCCTTTCATTGTGACCCTAGGAGTAGGAGACCTCTTTCTGTCCTGTTTATTAACCAACCTTTCTTTCTTTCCTTCCCTTCCTTTTCTTTTCTTTTTCTCTTTCTTTTCTTTTTCTCTTTCTTTCTTTTTCTCTTTCTTTCTTTTCTCTTTCTTTCTTTTTCTCTTTCTTTTCTCTTTCTTTTCTCTTTCTTTTCTCTTTCTTTCTTTTCTTTTCTTTCTTTTCTTTTCTTTTCTTTTCTTTTCTTTTCTTTCTTTTCTTTTCTTTTCTTTTCTTTTCTTTTCTTTTCTTTTCTTTATAGCAGGCTTTCGGGTCACTTCTAGCAGCTCCCAGTTCAGCTCACGTGATTCGACACAGTTCTCTGACTCCGGCTCTGCTGATGAGGTTGATGAATTTGAAATTCAAGGTAAGGAGCTACCCTTATTTCAAGCAACTTTCATTACCTGTTTCTTTCAGTTTGAAGTCATTGAGAAGCTTTCCCCTAGTATAGAGAATCTTCAGTATGGTCCATTTTGAAATGTTGTCAGTAATTGTAAAAGATGGCCTCTCTAGCTAGAAACAAAACCCCTTTAGTAAAATTTAAGCAGAAAAGAACACTGAAAGGCAGTGCTTCAGAGTGGTCTGGGTGCTGAAGTCACCTTGATGGGTCTCAATTGCACCTTTCTCTTGAATTTTTACTTTGATTCCTCTTGCTAACAGCCTATGACTGGCCCATACCTGCTTGAAATTAGAATCCTATTCCTTTGTGTTCCATGACACAATGGAAATTGTGTCAAAGGGTTTGAAAGGAGTTTTGTTATAATCCTAAGAGAAAAGGACAAAAAGAGTCATTGGTGGGAGAAAAAGCAAAAAAGGGAAAAAAATCAAGTTTACAAAGTAAAGCTTTATTCTATCAGCACTAACTTGCTTAGCAGAATCACAGAGCCTTGTTTTGTTGTTGTTGTTGTTGTTGTTGTTGTAAGCATATGCACGATGAAGGGGAGGGTCTCTAACCTGGGATGGCAATTGTGTTAAAGCAGGTTAACCCGTGATTAATGGATTAGCCCATTCCTGCAAATCATAGATTTTTTTCAAGTTCCCATGAGCACAACAAACTGAAAAGCTAGGGGAAAGCCCCTAGCTTTCCCCCATGGGTGAAACTAAGAGTTATTTTCTTGTAGGTGAATTGTATCTGTAACTCTCCATTGTAAGATGATGATGAATAGATCTTTTTTTATAGATCTGTTTATATCAATCTAGAGGATTGACGTAATTCACTTTTTACCTGCACAGACCTCCAGTAGTAATTGAAATCTAGTGGTAGCTGGATTTTTTTTTCCCCCTGTTCAGAAATGCAATTTTTACACATATTTTTCCAGGTCTCTAGGAAGGCTTCCTCCTTTATTCTCTTTAATGTATGTGATTTCTATTCGTGACAATAGCCATTTAAAACTCCTTTTTTTTTTTTTTTTTGGTTCGTTTGTATGTGATTTTCCAACAGCATTTCTCCAATTATCTGACACCAACTGAGTATCTTGACAATTCAATTCTGATGTTAATTCCTGTAGTTAGCTTAGACCCCACAGGTTAAGGACTCAGTCCCACAGGATACTCCCATTTCAGATGGCAACCACAAATGGGGTCACCACCACCTGCTCTTATCCTCAGCCAACTACAAATTCAGGAGTTCCCATAACCCTACCCACACACACACCCCCCGCCCCCCTGCCACCCAACTCAGGTTCCATAATTTGCTAGAATGACTTTCAGAACTCAGGAAAATACTGTACTTAAGATTACTGTTTATTGTAAAGGATACAAATGAACAGTCACATGAAGAGGTACTTTAGGGCAAGGCCCCAAAGTTTCCTGAGCGTAGGGACCTCTGTGTCCATGCAAAGATGTGCTTGCTGTACTACCAGTACATCAGAATGTTCACCAACCACCTAGCTTTCCCAAACCTCATCATTACAAGTGTTTTATTAAGGTTTCATTACATAGGTAAGCATGTGTGCTTAAATCATTGGCTGTTGGTGATTGACCTCAATCTGCAGTCCCTCTCCCTTTTTGGAAGATTGGAAGTGGGACTAAAAATTCTAATCCTCTAATTTGGTGGTTGGTTTTTCTTCTGGCAACCAGGCCCAGCCTAAAGTTATCTGGATGCTCCCTGAGAGGCACCTCTTTAACATAATAAACTCAGATATAACAGAAAGGGACTCGTTATGAATAACAGGACACTCCTATCACTCTGGGATTTGCAAAGGTTTTAGGAGCTCTGTGCCGAGAACTAGGCAGAGACCAACTCTGTTGTTTGTTGTAACACAATCTATGATTGACTTGACCTCCAAATTCAAAGAAAATAAAAGGGTTCTGGCCTATCTCTCGGATCAAGAGAATTTCTTAAGGGTAATATTAAGGTAAATTCAAAACACCACCTCATTGGGTATGGAGCAGTTCACTTGATTACTAAGTGTTCCTTGCAGCAAAGCAAGGAACCAGGGGAAGCTGTTCAGTCTGAAAGGAGTCAAATTTGAAATAGCCTGCCTGGCAGTGGCATGAGGTGCACTCCTGTGGGGAACTGTTGTTGCATTTCTGGTCCCAGAGGAGTTGTTTAATCAACTAACTCTAGTCAGCTCAGGATGGAAATCCTTAAAGGGAAAGACCTCAGGGGAGAGTTTCTTAAACTCTAGGCCAGATAATCCTTTGTTGTAAGAGACTGTCCAATGGACTGTAGCATGTTTAGCATCATCCCCAGCCTCTGGCCAGGTATCGACAAGGGTGCATCTCCTGGTTGAGAACCACTACCTTAGAAGCCTTTAAGGTCAGGTTGATTTGGGGAAGCAGCAATCACTATCTCCCAAGCAATACTGGGTGGCATGTAACTTCCTAAGAGCAGTTTATCTTTTGGAGCAAAGTCAAGTCCTGACTCCTAGAACAGGAATAGAACTGTGGAATAGAACTGTCATTCTCATTGATTTACTGCCTGTCTGAATACTAAAGGGCCCCCTTTTATAATCATTATCGCAGATGGTAGCGAAGGATCTAACCTGACTCACATGTCAAAGAACGGACTCTCAGTGTCAATGGCCTCGATGTTTTCAGGTAGCCTGTGTTGGAAGTGTGGGTGTGCTCATACATGCATGTGTGTGAATGTTTGCATCAGCTTTTGTACAATCTTTATCTTGTGACACCTGTCTATAAGATTTAGAGAACTAGCTAGGAAAAAACAGAGTTGAGCCAGCTAAGAACATTTCAGATACTCCTTTTCTTCTTCACATGACCCCTAATAATCCTCCTCGCCAAGATAGTCCTTGTGGATCTTTCCCTACAGTGATATTTATAGACTAAGTGTTCATTGTAGCTGATGGAGGTAGTAGGCAGTTTAGAAAGCATTGGTCAGGTGAAGAAATTGTCCCTCAAACCAACAGCTAAGCTACTACAAAAGTCAGATAGATGGTGTGAAAATGTAGTATCTTCAGAGTTTTGAATTTGCAGTCAGTTTGCAGAAAGCTATCTCTTCTTGGTATTTTGTATACAATTAGGATTTACTGCTGAAGATGTTTTTGGCCTTGGTAATTGCTTTATGATTCAAACCAGTAGGCTTTCCATAGGTGGGGTTAACTGAAAGTACCAATTTTCTACTCAAAGGGGCTTCAAAACACATAACAGCAAAACCCAGGACTTTTTATTAAACAGTTTATTTTAACTGCTAATGGTGTCAGCTACTAGAATTTGAAATAATGATGTAAGATTAGATAAAGATGTGAAGAAGTAGAAGTATTTAGTTTCCTTTTTCTCTATTCCCAAAGAGTTGTAATTTATTCTAACATCGTCTTCTTTTGCTTGAGAAGTAATTATCCTATCACTTTTTAACTGGTTTCTTATGTGTTTACGACCACAATCCTTTTGCGGGTACATTTATTGACTGCCAGCCATTTCTCTGTCAGAGCATATTGAGTCTGTGTTAACCATAAGGCAGACCTTTATTTGGTCTTCCTGGCATCTTTTCTTCCCCATTTTGGGAGTTTAAAGTTTTTTTATATATTTTTATACGTTTATACATTTTATATATATATATATATATATATATATATATATATATATATATGAAGCATTTTTCAACTAGAAAATTACTTTTTCTTGTGACCACAATCTTAGCACATTATGGGAGTTATAGGCAAAGCAATCAGAACAAGTTCTCTCAAAAGTAGTGGCTTGATTCTTTTTTATGAAAGTATAATTTACACTTCATCTTTCTTTACTCTAGATTTCTTTTTTTTAAGATTTTATTTATTTATGAGAGACACACACAGAGAGAGATACTCTAGATTTATTTTTTGCTTCCTATTCCTTTTCATCGGTTTCTGGGTTATTAATGGTACAAAATTCATCTTTAGCTATCTTCCTAATTACATCTAGTGGTTTATAGATGTATTTATTTTTTTTTAATTTTTATTTATTTATGATAGTCACAGAGAGAGAGAGAGAGGCAGAGACACAGGCAGAGGGAGAAGCAGGCTCCGTGCACCGGGAGCCCGATATGGGATTCGATCCCGGGTCTCCAGGATCGCGCCCTGGGCCAAAGGCAGGCGCCAAACTGCTGCGCCACCCAGGGATCCCCGATGTATTTATTTTTTGTCATCATAAGTGATTTATGCTTTTGAGGAACCTCTGTGGATACTGTCAGAGGAAGATCATTAAAATCTGCAGTGCCCTTGGAAAAATTTAAGTGCTTAAACATATTATGGATATCATCTATGATGACAACTCTGCATAGTATAATACTCTGCTTGATGTAATCACATTTCTTAGATCCTGATTCACCAAGTAGACCATATGGAACAGAAGTGTTTCTGAAGGAAATGGATTTGGAAATTACTTCCTCCTAGCAATAAAGTGAATTTAAACCTTGTGATCACAGAAAGCTTATTTATAGAAAGCTTTGTAGTCATTAACCCCTTTTCCTTTCAATAATTTTTAGCAAATTTACCAAGTTGCGCAAGTGTCACCATAATCTAGTTTTAGAACATTTTCATCACCTCAATAAGATTTCTTGTGCCCATTTATAGTTCATTTCTGTCCCCACTCCAAGCCCCAGTCCACTGCTCATCTGCTTATGTCTGTATAGATTTGCCTCTTCTGGATACTTTATATGAGTGGAATCAGAGAATATGTGATCTTTTGTGTCTGGCTTCTTTTACTTCACCAATTTTGTCTGATGGTATCTGCCAAATGTATGAGATCATTCATAAGCTCCCAATCCCAGACAGTCTTTTCAGCTTCTTTAGTTTTAGGGTTTATTATTCTCCACCCCCCTTCCTTCCCCTTTTATTACAGCTTCATCAATTGTTCTTTATCTTCCTTTGTTGATTCTTCTAGAATTTCAGTCTTCCACATACATGTATCTAGTCATGAGCCATTCAGGAGACAGAAACCACAGAGTAATTTGACTAGGGAAAGTTTAAAATAAAGAATTATTAACTGTCATGGGGGACTGAAGTAATGGGAGACTGGCTCATAAGGAGTAAAAGGAACTCTAAAGAATACAGGAATAGCAGATATAGGTAGCAATTGGTATCCCTAGGCCTTGAGGTAGAACACCTAGGGAGGAACAAATGTAGAAGAGGACCACATTCTCAAGGCTGAGATCCAGACCTCCTTACTCACTAGAGGTGAATAAGTTCTCTGAGGCTGCAGAGCTGCCCTAAGAGAGTGTCCGGGGATGCTGTCCACAAGAAGTACCATGCCAACAGCATCAGGAAACCCTTCTGTGGGGTACTGGCGGAGGCTGCCCCTAGGGAAGTGCTGTGCCTCAGAACTCAAGAGATGCTGGGGGAGGTGGCACATGGGAGGGGCCAGGGGAAGCTGTTTATGAGAAGTACCGCTAGTGGCACTCTGCTGTAAGGCCACCTTCATGAAGGCATGCTTCCCCAGGGGAACATCATGTCACGCCTGGAGGAGCACACCAGACTCAGCCGGACAGACGCCTTCCTCCTCTGGCGTCCCTCCAGTGCCCTCTACTGGCAAGACTTAACATGGTGCCAGCTGGCAGAGGGCCGTTGTTTTTGAGTCCAGCTCCATCATCATAGAGCAGGCAAAAAGAAGGGCAGGTTTGGAGCTGAAAGGCAGCAAATTGATTAACTGGCACAATGTATAAAGACAGAAGTTCATAAACTATGTTTTCTGTTTTCTGACAAGTTTTAAAATTATGTCCAATTCAAAGTAATCAGTTGCTTCTCCCCACACTGCCCTTTCAAGTAAATTTCTTTTCTTTTTTAAAAAGCAGAGCAATTGTGATTCTCCATTTAAAAATGTTTCCTCTCTAGTCAGCACTACAGAAAAGCCATTGGAGTTGGATCTCCAGATGTGTTGGGAGTCACCTTATCTGCCAGAAGGAAAGCAGGAAGGAAACCAACGTCAGACTGGCCAGTGAAGTCTGAAGTTGATTCTCTTCCTGTGCCTCACTTTGTTTAAAAATTTGCAGATTTTGCTATGGTACCGAGTTTTTAACCAATTCTTCCCCGACCATCCCAATACCGGTGTCTGGACATGCAAAAATTCTTACAGCATGTCATTTTTAAATTGTTTTTGTTTTTATATTTTTGAATTTTTTTTCTCAGTCCACAGTAATAGCCTTACCTAAAGCATCAGAAGCATTTGAAATCAGTTTTCTTAGGAAAAAATATTTGCCAAAGAATCAAATAAAAGTTTCATAATTAATTGAATGGCCTCCTCCTGTCTCTTTACTTGTTAATTTTCTGTCTTAGACCCTGGTCTGCTTTTACCCAGATCCCTTGGCTAGTGTTCCAACCACATTAACTTAATGATATACTTGAATTGACCAGAAAGTCAGCAATACAACAGAGGCCCAGTACCCCCAGGGCCTTCGCCAGTTTTGGGTGGCATGTCTCGATATCAAGTGCTGCTTCTCCTGCTCCACTCCCAGGGTTAGATCGTCCCAGCCAAACCGGTGTGGTCCTCCTCACTGGAAGTGTTCATGATTAGCTAGGAAGTCATTGCATCTCTGGTAAAAAGAAAAAAAAAAAGAAAAGAAAAGAAAGAAAGAGACATGGTAAAGTATGACTTGACTGTATTTTCCAAAGAGCAGAGAATGATTTCGTTTTCTCTCAAAGAGAAAATGACTTTTTCTCTGTGAAATGGAAGAACTACTAAATAGTATTTTGAAGACAGTGGTCTCCTTGGCAACCTTGAAGTGTCACCACTGTTCCTCTCTGATGTGCAGGGTTTTCTTTAATAGCCTGGCTCTATAGTAGCAAATTTGGTTAACTCTTTTTTTTTTTTTAAGATTTTATTTATTCATGATAGACAGAGAGAGAGAGAGAGAGGCAGAGACACAGGCAGAGGGAGAAGCAGGCTCCACGCAGGGAGCCTGACATGGGACTCAATCTCTGGACTCCAGGATCATGCCCCGGACCAAAGGCAGGTGCCAAACCGCTGAGCCACCCAGGGATCCCTCTGGTTAACTCTTTATTCAAAGATATCTGTCTAAGATTTTCTCTCATTTTTTTTTCTATTTTACCCAACTTGCTTTTTTTGCTTTTAGCCAGTTAATAATTTATTTAGGAAATATTTTCTGAAAATCTATTATGTACAAAACAGTCAGATTATAAGGGCAAGACAAGACTTTGTACAGATCCAAGGCAGTACAAGTATTATTCAAATAAATGCTACAAACCAAATGGTCTATGGAGGTCTACTATTGCCTAGAATTTCTTTTTCACTAGCACTATTTAGAATGGAATAAAGAGCTAGCAGTGTATTGAGATCAGGATTTTGGTGGTACAAGTTCAGACATTATAATATACATGAACTTCTTTGTTAAATAAAATAGGATTTGCTATTTACTAGTCAAAAATTTTGTTGCTGCCCTAAATTTTTCTCTAAAGAGCACATGAAAATTCATTGACAGATTTCAGTTCTGTTCCCTTGCTTCCATTTAAAACTTTGAAAACATTGATTTGTTAGGAACATTACTTGAATAAACAGGGCTTATATACAGAGCCCTGTGTTAAATATTTTGTGCCAAACAAAAGAATTAGACATGCTCTCATTTCCTCACAAGGATATTTTATGATCTAGTGGCACATGCAAAAAACATATATACAGAGGAAACGTGAAGAACAATTGAGCTACTTATGGCCAACTGCAGAGTGATGTCATGTAAGCTCTAGTGCTCTTTTGAGGGGCTCAAATGCAATAGATTGATCATTGTGTAGCTTTAATTAGGAAAGGAATGTCTTTTCACTGGGCATCAAAGGAAATGAGGGATGAGACGTCAGAACAGTCTTGTTTTCAGGACTTGAATACATTCTATCTGCCTTTCTTGAACATGAGTCCTGTATTCCACATTTTCTCCATCAAACATTTCTGGAAAGACGAGGTCCCTGGAGGTTCAGGTATATCGTTACTAGAAATCCTTTAGCAGAAATAGGCTTTGGAAAGTCCACTGTAGTTTCCTGTGATTATGATTATGTTCTATAGAAAAGATCATGCTGAATATCTCCATGAAAATTTGTTGGTTATCAGGCATTTCTGGGGAGCTGCCAAGTCAGAGAGAAGTTCTATTCTTTCCCGTGCCACCAAACAGAAAGGAAATCTTTCCATGAAGCTTCTATACGGACATAGAAGACTTCTCACATTCGGGAGCAATAGCAATAGTAGTCAGATGTTAGGAGAAAAGTTCCAGTTCCACATAACATTTAACGAGTAACCTCCGTGATCCAAGTTCTGTGTTAAGTACTGATTTTGATATAACAAAGCTAGATAGAGTTCTTAACCTCTGAGAGTTTATCATTTAAGAGGGTTTGTGATTTAGAGAACAAGGGAGAGATTGGAGTAATTGTTCTGTGTTTCTGCTTGATAGAGGGTGTGTCCCTGTGTGCCTTAGGATGCTTCCTTTTCTCATTCATGTTTTGCACCAAATATGAGTTTGTGTTCCCACTTGGATTTGTAGCCATTTTGGTCGTCTCCATGCTGTGCATAATGTCACTAATTCGACCTCGTTGTGAACTTGAACAGAGCCAAACTATAAATTGTGTGTAGAGCTTTACCTGGTCTCTGCTCCTTATCCTGCATAGAATGTAGCTTGTAGTTGCTACCTAGAGTGCTGAGCTGGCAAAAGCTTGGAGTGGTTTCCATTATTATCCCTAACCTCCTCCCTTCCCATTTCCGGCCCCCCTTATCTCTGGTTTCCATTTAGATGCTGACATCAGAAGGAGCACAACCTCACACAGCAAATCCTTCACTTCCTCCCAACCCTTGTAAGTACTTTTTTTTTTTTTCCAACAAAACTTTGGGTATGTGGAGAAACAAACCCAATTTTTGGCATTTGGATGGGAAAAGTATCCAAATTCACAAAGAGACATGATTAAAGTGATGGGCCTGCCTGATGGTGGCAAGCCCCCGGGATCATTGGTTTCACTCTGGTGGAGGCAAAGCTCGTAGTATGGATTGTTCCTTCTATGCTGACTCTGATTATAACAGAGGCCCCAGAAGATCAGATACCAAAAGAGAGAACAGTGATCATGATTTCTGAGTATGAGATCTAATTGAACCGGTTTCACATTGTAGATCCAACTAGGGGAAATAGTAGCTCATTTGGGAGCAACAAACAATTCTCTATTGTTCACAAGGCAGTTATATTCAACTTATTTTGTAAACAGGTGTTATAACCCCCATTTTTGCAGTTATAGGAACTAAAGTGTAGAGAAGGGAGGTGATACAGAACCCCTACCTAGCAGTGCCATGTAATGCTATTAAGTGGGATTTGAGCCCATGTCTTTGGACCATAAGATCAATGTATTCTCCTACGTGTGTAGGAAGATGAGAAAGGAAGCCAAGTCAGTGAGGGTGCTGCAAGTGTTCTCAGCCAAGAAATCACCAGGTATAATATCAGACCCTGGAGGGAAGGCTCCCATCTTCCTGTCTTTTCTGTATGCTCAGCCTTCCTTGAATCTCCTTTCCAGCTCCCACTGCTTCCTTCACTCCACATCTGCAGAGGCAGTGGCCATGGGACTCCTGAAGCAGTTCGAAGGCATGCAACTCCCAGCTGCCTCAGAGCTAGAATGGCTAGTTCCAGAGCATGATGCCCCTCAGAAGGTAGATTTCTTTGGCATTTTTTTCTCCACCTGCTGCCAGCCCCAGGAGGCTATGAGCGTTTCTGATGCTGTTCTCCTTTTTTGCACTTCCCTCATCTAGAATGAGCCTTGTGTTTCCTAACTTACAGAAGACGTTCATTGCAAATGTGTTCAGTGAGTGAGTGAATGAATGAATGAATACATGCTTTCCTGGGTTTTCCCTAGCAATGGTCAAAACAGGAGATAATGGCTCCCTTTTCTTATTCCACATGACCGCTTACTAGACCCAGAGGTGGAACTCGTGTAGTGTGACCGCCTTTGAGACACTGTGGAAAAAGTGAGCTGCTCATAATCTGCTTTGCTCTACAGTTGAGTATAGCATAGCAAGGGTCCTGGGGTGGGCTCAGAGACAGCATCAGCAATGGGTGCCATCACCCTGGAATGCTGTTTCTGTTCCTTTTGCATCTTGGAACACAAGGACCTCACTTCCAGTAGCCTGATGCCTTACTGGTGTGTGCTGAGGGCCGAGGTTCTTTGAAGCCTTTACCCAAGGTGTTCCTGGAATATCTTTCATTAACTATGTTTCTGTTATGGCCAAAGGGCCAAGCATGTGTTCCCAGAGACTGTCCATGTTAGATCACCCTGTGCTTTTCTCCCACAGCTCCTGCCCATCCCAGACTCACTGCCCATCTCACCAGACGACGGGCAGCACGCTGACATCTACAAGCTGCGGATTCGTGTTCGTGGCAACCTGGAGTGGGCCCCACCCCGACCTCAGATCATTTTCAATGTTCATCCAGCCCCAACGTGAGTAGCCAGGATCTCCACCCTTTGGGAAACAGATGCATGCTCCTGGTTGTCGGGGCTGTCTCCTCGCTCCTTGTCTCTGCCTCCACCGGTAGCTCCCACACAGTTCTAATCACTTAACAGCAGAGGGAGAGGATTATCCATCTGGTCGCGAGTCTTACTCCTGATCCTCCTATTGCCTCCCAGAGCTAACTGGAAAGAGGTCTTCTATCACTGGCCTTCCCAGTCTACTGCCTTCCTCCCAGTAGTTTTGTGGGCTTTCTGGTTTTTCTCTTAAGATGGATGGTTACTTTTCTTTCCTCTTGTTCTCTCTTCTGTCCTATTTCTCCTCTCTTACATTTGTACAGGAAGCGTGATTCAGGGCTGGAGGCTGTCCCTGCCTAGACCTAGATTCTGACCTAGTAACCCTCGGTTTGAATCGGTTGTCCCAGTGCGTTCGTTTGGTCCAATTCTAAAACACAATAGGTGAACTTCCCCCTCTTCTCATGCTCAGCAAGAGCCCCGTGTCTGCCTCCTCCTGCTTTCTAGTCAGAGGCCTCGTGTAGCTGGTATCTACCAAAGCCCTCTCCTTCCCCTCTCCTCAGGAGGAAGATCGCTGTTGCCAAGCAGAATTACCGCTGTGCCGGGTGCGGCATTCGGACTGACCCTGGTGAGCGTCTTCTCCTGCCCGCACAGCGCCTCCAAGGGCTGTACCGGCTCACACTCAGAACAGGGGCCTGTCAGAGACGGAGTGAGAGGAGGCAGCAGAGCAGAAATGGGAAGGGGGAGGAAGGGGCCTGGACCCGGAAGGCAGGGCTAGGCAGGATCACTGAATGGGAGGGAAGTGATTTCTGGGGGCACATTGCCAGCATAGTGTACTGTAGAAAATCGGGTATTTTCGGCCAGGTGCTTGGAAGCTGGATCTTACCCACTCTGCAAGGTTTGCTTCCTCGGTGGCTTTCAGAGGGGACACAGAAAACCACGGGCCCCACTCTGCGGGTTCCTGCCAGCTTTGGGAGTGCACACAGAGGTGGATAGAGGTGGATGGAGCCGGGCAGCCGTCCCTTCCTGTTCTTTGGAAAAAAAAACCATCAGGAGAGCTGCCCCAGCGGCTTAGAGATGGGAAAGCCACATCTGACCTTTGACCTTCTGGTTTGTCCAGATTATATCAAGCGGCTGCGGTACTGTGAGTACTTGGGCAAGTACTTCTGCCAGTGCTGCCATGAAAATGCCCAGGTGGTCATCCCCAGCCGCGTTCTGCGCAAGTGGGACTTCAGCAAGTACTATGTCAGCAATTTCTCCAAGGACCTGCTCATCAAGATCTGGAATGACCCTCTCTTCAACGTGCAGGACATCAACAGTGCCCTCTATCGGAAGGTCAAGCTGCTCAACCAAGTCCGGGTGAGAGCCGTGAGAGGCCCCATTGAGGGCCTTCCTCGTTCCTCATCCCCTCCCTCTGTTCACCCGGGCTCTGCTGTTCATACCGCACTTCTGTCCGTCCACCATGGCAGAGCTGGAACCGGCTCCTCACTCGTGCTTTCTCTGCCCACTTTCTCAGTTCCCCGGCCCTTTCCCACCTATCCTTCTAGTCAGAGCCTCAAACCTGACTACGGCAGCTCTGAAGCCAGAGGTGGCGCTCAGTGACAAAAGCAGGAGTTCCCCATGTGCTAAAAATATACTGAAGGGACAATAGGGAATCAGGTGGGAAATTCAAATTCTGAATTTCTCAGCTGTGTATGTGATTTGGGAGCCCAGCCTAGGAGAGGAGCCCTCCCTGACAGGAGGTCACTTCAAAGCAAGTTGTTGAGTTAAGAAGTAGAGAATAGTTTGGCTCTGGCTGCTGCATGCAGAGCTTCTAGACCCCCACGGTTTAAAGGTGCTGGTCATTCTAACGGGTGTTTCTCTCCTCTTCCTACCTGCCCTTACCCCCACTTCACCACCACAATGTCTTCCTCTTCAGCTGTTGCGGATCCAACTGTATCACATGAAGAACATGTTCAAGACATGCCGACTGGCCAAAGAGTAAGTCTTGTGTTGTGGCTAGCGGTCTCTTGCTGGGTTAATGTCTCTGAAAGAGACATGCCCCAGCAGTTGTCCCTTGTTATGTGAAGAGAGAAATTAGAGAAATTTGCAGAAAAGTCCAGAAATGGTAAATGAAAAGCCTACAGCAGTAACTGTGTCTGTATCTTCTCTTTGGAGGGGACAATCTCTGATTTTCTATCAAGAACAAACCTACCACTCTTTGCAAGCTGGCATGAATCACTGTAGTGAAGGGTATAAAAATCACTTCTCCTATCCAGATACCCAGTAGTGTGGAGGGTCTGGGTGTTCTGGAACACCTAGGCTGGGTGAGTGTTGCCCACCCTCATTGACTCTTCTTTTCCCTATCTTGCTTCTGGATAGAGATCCTTCCACGTTGATGTGCCACACCACATGTTCATTTTCTGCACCTCCCTACTTCCCCTCATTTCCCGTAGGCTTCTGGATTCCTTTGACACAGTTCCCGGCCACCTGACCGAGGATCTCCACCTGTACTCACTGAATGACCTGACTGCAACCAGGAAGGGGGAGTTGGGACCCCGGCTCGCTGAGCTCACCAGGGCAGGGGCTGCCCACGTAGAGCGATGCATGGTGAGATAGTCTCGCTTGAGCATGTGACTGGGCTTTTGCTCAGGGATATGGAGAGTGGGGTGGACCTGGGTTCTTGCCACGCAGTTCCAGGAAGCTGACATGGCCTATCAGCACTGTGACAGAAACTGGGCAGGATTGCTAGCCCCTGAGCTGGTAAATGGCTGAATCATCCAGATCTGAAGAACCTGGAATTTGAAGAGGATGTGGTGCTGGCATTGCCCCTGGGTAATGGGCAGGACTGAGCAGCCCTTCACTCTAGAATCGTCCTGATGTGGGAGGAGAACCCTGAATTGGAATCTGGAGAGAGTCTCCACTTTATCATTTTCAATCACTGTGACCAAAGAGAATGCTTTGCTCTAACCCGACTCAAGGCTGGGCATTATTTTAGAGAAATACCCTTGTCTTCACATTTTATCTTATTGACTGTGGTTCCCATTTCAAAATAGAGTCATCGCCCACACTGGAATTTTAACGTTAGGAAGCTCTTTGTGGCACACCATGCCTTCCTTCTCTATCTCTGCACAAGAGTGGTTGGAGTTTCAGAAACTCCCTTGTACCCACTGTAAAGCTTTGTGTAATAACACAGCCTAGTCCCAGCCGCAGTTTGGCTCTCATGCCCCTGAGTCCAGCTCACTCAAGTCTTCATTATATCTTGCCCCGCCCCTCACTTGGGTTCATCCCTTTGTTCCCCTGACTTTGCTGCCTCCCTTCCCCCTCAGCTCTGCCAAGCCAAGGGCTTCATCTGCGAGTTCTGTCAGAATGAGGAGGACATCATCTTTCCTTTTGAGCTCCACAAGTGCCGGACCTGTGAAGGTAAGGACCGGTGCCAGGTATGGAGTGGGCAAATAAGACTGCACCCCAAGCCTCTGTATTCCCCTCTCAGCCATCCCTGTTCACAGGAGTAGAGTTTGAGTCAGCAACTCCCGGTTTTCAGCACGGGGGCACCAAGCGTGGGTGGCGACAAGGGGCTGTAGCAGTGACTTACTTCCAGTTTGAGATAATACACGTTTTCTCTTTTTTTTCTCACCTTCTCAACCTAAATAGAATGTAAAGCATGTTACCATAAAGCTTGCTTCAAGTCTGGAAGCTGTCCCCGATGCGAGCGGCTGCAGGCCCGGCGGGAATTGCTGGCCAAACAGAGCCTGGAGTCTTACATGTCAGACTATGAGGAGGAACCCACTGAAGCCTTGGCCCTCGAGGCCACTGTTCTGGAGGCCACCTGAAGAAAGCACACTAAGCCCTCCTTCTAGGGGCTGGGGTCACACATAATGCAGAACTGAGCCACCCTTTTAAGGACTTTCCCCACTTTTTTTTTCTTTAATTATTATCATTTTTTTTTTTTTATGACTTACCTAACGTCCATATATAATCAACCTTTGATAGGTTGGTGGGGTCCAGTCTGTTGTGACAATTTGTAGGTACTGGATATTTCCATCAGAACTGACACAGGAGTCATTATGTGAAGCTTCTAGTGCCTCTGTCGGGGGAATGGACGATGAGACCCAATTCTTCTGACATCCATGGCCTTCTGTACTTGGACCAGATCTGGTTTCAGCTGCATTTCAAGTATCATTTCCAGTTTTATTTTGTTTTAGTTCTGGAGCTTTTGAGTCAGGCCTTTCTCAACCAACTCACTTCTCCTTTGCTGCTGAAGTAGGAGGATGGAGTTTTCTCTCTCTGTCCTGGAATAGAGTCAGACTGTGCCCTGAGGAGAAGGAGAATGGGACTACACCATGGGCATTCTGTCCAGCTAGTTATTAAGGTATTTTTAAGGCCGTGGAAACAGCATTCTTACCTGGAATCCTCAGAGACCTCAAGCAGGCCACCATGACCTCCTTGTGTGAAATATTCTAGGCATCAATGATGTCACAAACTGACTTTCCTTATCCTGGCAGGCTTGAAACAAAGAAACAGAACTGATGCTTAAGCCAGGCCCCCTCATAGCCTTCCACTGAGCATAAGTGAGGCTGCAACTCTGTGGCTTCAGGAGCATTGATTCAGTCAGAGAAGCTATTGGCCAACTCTTACATGATAAGGTCTCTTAGTCAACCAAGCTTTGGTGCAGATATGATCTTTCAAGCTCAGGCAGGTAGGTCCCTGATGCCATCCTAGGCTGAGGACAGAAACTGCATCCACCATCTTATTTGTGGATCTTCTGCCCCCGCGTCCTCTGTTAGGTGGTTATTTTGGTTCTGAGTGAAAGTATGGCCCCACTCGATTTTCATCCTCTTCCTGCAACAGAGCTGGGACCTTCCCTGGTGGCTGAACTCTTGCCTTAGTTTCTTTTGTTAAAGTCAGGGTGGGGGTGGGGAGATCTCTGCTATTAGTGAGGTTAGAGAACTTAGCAATTTGTGGATATGAGTGTGAGTGTGAATGTTCCTGTGTTCTTGGGATAACAAGAGCCTTTATGCCTATTATGCACTGAACTCTGTAGCCTGGTGATGTCCATATGTTCAGTCGTTTTTTTCATATTACTAATTTTAACACACACATACATTTTCTTAAAATGTGCATTTTGATGGGACCGTGGATATGTTTGTGGTGTTCTTTAAGTTGCTATAGACTCCTGACCCCTTCCTATCATACTGGTCAGGGTCACTGTTCTGAGGGCTGGCAGCTCTGTGAACAAAAGCCCACAGCATTTTTTTTCTGGGACTGACTTCTTGTATACCTGTCTCTCCATAATTGGTTGCTAGTAGAAAATACTAAGTGTGGATGCTGCCCCAAGAAGCTGAACAGAAAGTAGCACATGGTTGGTGGAAGCTGATGAGTGGCTGAGCTGGAGGCAACCAGGAGTCTCACAGGGAGTAGAAGGGGCAGTAAGGTAATGGCCAGAGCTGAGGCTTTACTTGGGCAAGGGGGAGCAGAGAGGGATTGACCTGTGGTGTTGGTCTCTCTGCCTCAGACTTAGGATCAGGCTGGAAGACCCTGAAGCTGTTCTCCTTTCAGTCCATGGGAGAGGCTCTGAGAGCCAAGCCCAGCCCAGTTTTGAGGGGCTAACTAGGAGCTCCATTGTCCTTCAAGGAACTTTGGGAATGGCCCCACAAAACTCAAGACTTTCTAAGGGTTAGGCCTCAGATTCATACTCAGGGGTTTGTAAAAAAAAAACAAAACAAAACGGTGAGCTCTGGGTCCAGTTTTGGTATAAGTTACACATCTAGCTAGCTCTTCACTCTAAGTCACTACACTGGAGGAGAGATGCACTGTCATTCTTGTCCTGCCTGTTTCATATTAGCAGAGGACCAAAGGATGGAAAATGCTAACAGTTTCCAAAGCTGAGCTTAGCAATCTAATATGCTCCTGGCTTTTCACTTATTTTTCTCCATGTTCCCCATTCCATCTCCTTAGATTGTGTATCTGTTTTAGTGACCCTCACACTCTGCTGTCATCACTGTCCAAACACCCATTTATTTATTTATTTGAGAGGAAAGAGTGAGAGGAAAGAGTATGGGATGTTTTGAAAGCACTTTGCAACTTATACCAGTATCTAAAAACCTCCTGCTGTTGTAGGGGGAAAGCTGAATGCACTGAAGAGCATTCCTTCTGAGTGAAATGGGAGGGAAGAAGTGTTCTTTTTCATAAATAAAGGGAAAAAAAGTTAAAAGTTTGCTTACAAGATAGAGACAAGATTCAAGACAAAGCAGAAGAGTGGAAGACAGATATCTTCCACTTAAATGAGGCTGTTATTGACTTTCTCTGCCAAGACTTTAGAGCTTTTGTTGAATTAACATGAAAGGAGGAAGAGTCTAAATAGAGATGATCTGTTCATGTACAACTCGTGTTCTGAACTGGATTTCTACTCTCTGTAATTCATACATAGCCTAACAGTTTATTATCATCTTTAATAAACTAAAGGAAGTGAAATTTCTGCCTTTTATTTTTGCCTTGACTATAGGAAATGGTATTGAGTGTCCACTGTAAAGTAGGCATGTCTAAAAATTCAGGCGGTTTCTGAATTATAATGCAAAGAAAACTGGACCTTCCGAGTTAGGAAAACTGGATGAGAATGTGACCTTGAGCAGATCACTTTGGTTCTCTGGAATTCTGTTTCTTCACGTATAAAAGATATGGGCATTAATCATTTCCAGTGCATGAGGTGTGCACCCTACTCGTCCTCTTGATGTAAGTATCTTATTTTAAAGCGAGGTTGGGGCGCCTGGCTGTCTCAGTGCAACTCTTGATCTTGGGGTTATGGGTTCAAGCCCTACAATGGGTGCAGAGGGTACTTAAAAATTTTTAAATCTTTAAAAATAAAAGAAAATAAAAACAAAGTGAGGTGAATCTTTCTCTCTACAGCATCTGAATTGTATCCAATGCTTTGTTTCTCACTTCTGTGAACAACTTGCTCTGAGTTTCTGTCTTATGCTCCTGGCCCACTGAGGTTCCACTTTCACCCTACAACTTTCTGAACATGTCCACTTTGATGTCCCATGGTCATCCCCCACTGATATGTCTAAAACCAACATAGGTATCATATTTCCTCACACCTAACCATTAGTCACCCCAGCTTGAAAATTGGGCTATCTTCAACTCCTTCCCTCTGAGTCAGGTGGCATGTTCAGCCAATAAAACATGATCTCCTTCCTACTACCTGTCATCAAGTTCTATTGATTTTTTCTCTTTAAAATAAGTATTTCGTTCCTTTTCTATCATTGGCACACAGATTCAGGTTCTTACATCTTAGCCATCTCTAGCCATGCCAATCTCTTCCTATTTAATCATCCATCAGATATTTGCGCGCCTGCTGGATGCCAATTTCTGTGCTAGGCCCTATGGCTATTGCAGGGAGCAAAATGGAGGCAATCCGTATCGTTAGGGCACATAGAGTCTTGAGGGGGAGACAGGCATTGCCCCCAAAGTCACCAAAATTAATATGTAATTACAAGCTGTACTAAGAGCTATGAAGGCAAAGAGTAGATGCTATTAAATTAAAAAACAAAACAAAAACAACCCTAGTAAGTGGACCTAATTTAGATGGGAGACAAGTAAGGCCCCCAATGAGGCACAGAGTTGGGAGAAAAAAGCTCCAGATGAGGACTGGCATATGTGTTGGTGCTGAGATGGGGGGAGTTTGGGTAAGGAGCTGCAAGAACTGAACTACAAATTTTAGATTTTATTTTTAGCATGTTAGAAAACCACTGAAGAGTTTGAGTCAGAGGAGTGACTCATCTGGTTGAAATGTCAGTGTGTACTTTTCAGAGAATAAATAGAGTAAGGCAATAGTAGAAACACTGAGATCTTCTAGAGGGTTGGCTGTAGTCATTCAAGAGAGAAATTATGTTGATTTGAGCTAGAGTGTGGAATATTATCATCACTATCCGCTCATTACCCCAGACCTCTGAAAACAGGATGCATTCCAAATGTTCTACAATGACTCGGGGCATTTTGAATGAGTGAACAAAAAGGCTGAGGGACAAGATATTGGAAAAATCCTGGGATACATGACAGAAGCCAAGGAAAATGAACAACTATGGCTCAGGACGTGCAGAGACCAGGGTGGCCCTAGGAACCTCAGCTGCAGGATTTGCAAACCTCTTGAACCTGCTGCCAGCGAGGCAGGCCAAAGAGTAACAGCTGTGTTGGGGACCCAGCCCCGAGTAGTAGGGCACACCCCAAAGAAAGGGGAGCTGTGAGTTGGGCAGTGATGCATTGTGGCATTGGCTATGTTATTCATCATTCCCTGTGGCCCCAGGCATGTGTGGGTTTGCTATATTCTCTGATGGTGTGAAGAGTAGGCATAGTCTTTATAGCTTCTTGGTTACAGTGAGGCCCAAGCCTGCTTCCTTTTCCCTATGAACTTCTGGCTTAGAGTATGGGAAAAAGGGATCACTGTGCCCACCATACCCTGCTGACTTTTCTGTTCTGATCAACATTAGTCTTCTCCCATATCCAGTCTCCAGGCTATCGAACTGCTTGCTGTTAAAATTTTAGTGAGAGCAGCTACCAGGTGGCCCAGGCTTACCCATTGCTGAGCTCGATGTCATTGGGATTGAAGATTCATGTGATTCAAAAGGAAAGAAAATCTGCCTCGCACTACCCCTCCAGGAGCTTGGAGAACATGAGGCTGAGCTTTACCTATTCCCTTGACTATCTCTTATCTGTGGACTGCTAGGCTCTGGCTTTGGAGGTACATCAGAGACTTAGTCATTAATTTTCCTTGGATTCGGTCATTTATCCCAATATCTTAACACCGGGCCAGTGAGGTGAGGGCTAGTGGGTTAAGATAAATAAATCAATCAATCCTGAGTGGTGGGAGGGCTCTTAGGTAGATGGAAATTTTAGCAACCAGCCTTCTGAGAGGCTGCAGCAGACCAGTAAGGTGCAAATCTAAGTCTATGTGTGACGCAGCAGGGCAGCACGGATGACCTGCAAACTTTTGGCAACTCGTCATCTTAGGTACTTCCTGTCCTTTCCTGTCACCGCTCTGGGAATTTCTCACTTGTTTTCCTTTCAAACAGCGATGTTTGTAGTTCTCAACTGGTTTCTCTCCCCCACTGGCCCACGGCAGGAACAGAAGCTAGCCTCCCAGCTTCTCCTCCAAACCCCTGTTCCCACAGTGAACACACGACTGCTTTTGCACTAGCAGCAGGGAGGGGAGAACAAGCAAGTAAAAGGCGCCTTTCCCTCCTCACCTCCTAGCCTTTGCCACTTAAAATCTGAGGAAAGAAATTCAGCCTGGATGCCAACAATAGATCTCCCTGCGCTAAAACAAAATTTGCATGTTTCTCCCGTAACCACTGGAAGGCCTGTAACCACCAAGCTAACTGAAAAAAAGTCCTGAGAAGATGAACAGCAGAGATGAGGCCTGCAGAGGAAAAGGGAATGAAAAAGAGCTGCTTCTCTCTTGTTTATTCAACAGCATTTAATTTCTAATACGTTCACATGCTTAAAGACCACAAAAAAGTAATCAGTGAGAAGTCTCCCATTTCTGTAGCCATGTGCCCAGTTTTTGCCACACCCCCTTTGGTAGCCCCTCATTACTTTAACATTTATCCTTGAGAGAAAATTCTCTACCTCTGCCCTTCCCCCTCTTTTAAGAAGATTTTAATATTTATTTGAGAGAGAGAGAGCATGAGTGGATGGTGGGTTGGGGGGGGGCAGCAGAGAGAGAGGGAGAAGCAGACTACCTACTGAGCAGGGAGCTGGATGTGGGACTCCATCCTAGGACCCTGAGATCATGACCTGAGTGGAAGGCAGACACTTCACTGACTGAGCCACCCAGGTGCCCCCAAAATATATACTTCTTATTCTTTCTCCTTTTAAAAAAATTGCCATATCATATATACACTTTTATGTACCTTGCTTTTTTAAAAAATAGTATCTTAAAGAATTTTTAGTATTGGTACATGGAGAGAGTTTCCTTATTCTTTTTTATAGTGGCACATTTTCCATTGCATGAATGGACAATATTTGATTCACCCAGTTACCTATTGATGGGTTTTTAAGTTGTTTCCTATCTGTTGTTAATATAAACATTGTTACAATGAAAAACCTGGTCATACATGATTTCATATGGGTGCAAATGTATCTGTAGGATAAATTCTCCAAAGATGAACAGCTGGCACAAGAAGAGTGTGCATTTGTAAATTTTGGTAAGTACTGCCAAATACCCCTCCACCATGGGGATAAGGAGATTGGGGCAGGGGAGGGGATGGAAAACATGACTGTGGGGCCATACTCCTTTCCCTAAAACTCACCTTTACTTCTCTCTATAAGATAAAGTTTGGTCCCTTACCCTGGCACATACAGGATCTTCAATACATGGCCACACTTCAGCCTCCTAACTTCATCTCCTGCCATTCCCTGAACTACTAGCAGTTTCCCAACTACACCTTCATCCTTCTTCCTTTGAAGAGCTAACTTGGCTACATCCCCGCTTTCTCTGATTTATTCTCTACCCATCCTCTGTGAGCCCGTAGCACTCTCTGTACCTCCTGTTAGAACACTTCTCACAGTCTTGTTATTTAGCATTTTCTCTAATAGCACAGCAGATGAGTGAATGAATGAGATGAATGCATGAATGGCCAGGTGGCCATTTGAATGTAAGGAACTGCTTGTTCTGCATGGGAACAAGAATGATCAGAAGTACACTGTGGGACAAGGGACAGGATTGTTCTGACTTTGCCTCTGACCGCCACCCGTCTTAGCTCTCTTATCTCTTTCCTTGGCATCAAATCACTCCATTGGTCACTTTCCCAAATCTTAAAGTGGTAAAAATACACTCCCCTCTCTTTTCTTCCCTCAGCTACTTTGCAGCCGTTTCTGTTTTGTTCTGTCCAGCAGCCATTATCAGAGAAGGTAACATTCCAAATGTCCTTTACTCACTTTATTATTAAACGGCCAGCCTTTCCTTGCCAGGGACTAAACTGGGAGATACGATGAGATTTATATGCCCTAAAAACACCCCAGGAATTTAAAAATCTTCATGTCTACAAGGTAGGCTGAGAAAAGAATGATAAAGCCATGTAAAAAACTGCTGAAGCTGTTAAAATATCCAAATGTCTTCCAACTAGAGATAGAAAAATAGTACAAAATCTTACTTGTTCTAATGACCTTTGTTTATTGTTACAAACTGGTTCACACGAAGTCAAAGCCTGATTTACAGCAAATTCTGAAGCTTGTCTTCCCAACATTTAACTTAGACTTGAGATCTCCATAAGCTAAGCTCAAGAACACTGTTCAACACGGAAAGAAAGAATGCCAGACCAGCATCCATCCATCCATCCATTTATCCACTGAACTTACTATGTTTCTGTGTTCCAGACATCATGCCAGAGCTGAAATACAATCCTAGAACATTGTTTCAAAAGGTGTTTGCAGCATAATTTATAAGAGTTCAAAGTTAATAATGGAAAATATCCCAAAAAATAGATGCAACCATTAAAATCATGATTGTAAAAACCATGATAGAAACAGAAAAAAATCGTCTAACTCAATGCTATATGGAAACAAAAAAAGAAAAGTATATATCAAATATATATGAATCTTTACTGATATGAATAGATAATAGAATAAATAAATAAGAAGAGACAAATCCTCCTCACAGAATTCAAACAATATCTGTAAATTATCTCTCTCCCCTTGAAGATGGACTAGAATTAGTGATTCACTTACATAGGGAAGAAAGGGGGGTGGGCACCTGGGTGGCTCAGTCAGTTGAGTGTCCAACTCTTGATTTCAGCTCAGGTCATGATCTCACGGTTGTGAGATAAACCCAGTGTCAGGCTCCAGGCTGGGTTTGGAGCCTGCATGAGACTCTCTCCCTTTCCCTCTGCCCTTCACCCTCCCCAACACCCCCCCCCCCAAAAAAAATACAGAAAGAGAAAATAGCTGGTTTACAGTAGAGAAACCTGGCCAATACTGTCTTAACCAAAGGATCAAGTTAATACCGCCAATCTGGATATTATGCATTCTGGATATGATGTAATGAGAAGAGCACATCACTTCTGTGATATTCTTTCCCAAAACCCATAACATCAATCTAATCATGAGAAAAACAAGACAAACTCAATTTGAGGACTTTCTACAAAATAGCTGACCAGTACTCCTCAAAACTGGCAAGGTCATGAGAAACAAGGAAAGACCTGAAAAACTGCCACACATCAGAGGAGCCTAAGGAGACACAATTAAATACAATGTTCCATCCTGAATTGGATCCTGGAACAGAAAAAGGACCTTAGCAGCAAAACTGGTTAAATCTGAATAAAATCTAAAGTTTGATTTAATGTAATGTACCAATGTTGGTTTCTTAGTGTTGAAAAATATAAGATGGTACATAAGTGAAAAATGAAATTTTCCAGAACTATCGTATCTTTGTAAGCTTTCTGTGAATCTAAAATTATTCCAAAATTAGAAGTTTAGGGATGCCTGGGTGGCTCAGTGGTTGAACATCTGCCTTCAGCTCAGCGTGTGGTCCTGGGGTCCTGGGATCGAGTCCCGCATCGGGCTCCCTGCATGAAGCCTGCTTCTCCCTCTGCCTGTGTCTCTTCCTCTCTCTCTGTTTCTCTCATGAATACATTTAAAAAAATAAATTTTTTCTAAAAATGAGAAGTTTATGTATTAAAGGTATATATATAAGGAGTGCTCTTAGGATGAGCACCAGGCGATGTATGAAAGTGTTGAATAACTAAATAGTACACCTGAAACAAATATTACACTGTATGTTAACTAACTGGAATTTGAATAAAAACTTTTTTTTTTTTTTTTACAAAGTATATAGGTCATGGCCCTGGAGACCCAGGATTGAGTCCCACATCAGGCTCCCTGCATGGAGCTTGCTTCTCCCTCTGCCTGTGTCTCTGCCTCTCTCTCTCTGTGTGTCTCTCATGAATAAATAAAATCTTTAAAATAAATAAAAAGTATATATACATTGTTATAACTATTGGAAAAATATCCTTGGAAAGAAAAAATAGGCAAAGAAGGAAGGAAATACAAAAAATAAGTGTGGCTCTATTAAAATAGTGGAATTATGCAGTATTTTCCCCCTTTTTTATGTACATATGGAAATATCTGCAAGGTGGTCATTAAGTTTTAGAATGTAAAGAGCTAATTTTTTTTTTTATGATAGTCATACAGAGAGAGAGAGAGAGGCAGAGACATAGGCAGAGGGAGAAGCAGGCTCCATGCACCGGGAGCCTGACGTGGGATTCGATCCCAGGTCTCCAGGATCACGCCTGGGCCAAAGGCAGGCGCCAAACCGCTGCGCCACCCAGGGATCCCTAAAGAGCTAATTTTGATTTGGTTTGGGCTTAAAGACAAAATTTCTAAAAAACAAACAAACAAAAACAAACAAAAAACAAAATTTCTTTCCCTTGAAATGCAGAGGGAATGTACAAAAAACATAGATATTGAAGAACAGTCAAGACAACTATTGCTTTAAAATACTCCCCAAACATTCTTTAGCACAAGATAAGGTAACCCAAACTGGCCCAGAAAATGTCCAGGGCTCCTCCCTTCTTGGTCTCCTAGGCTAGTGCCCAGTTCCTCTGAGAACAGGTGTCTCTGTCTAGGCTTTCTGTCATGAGAGCACACAAGGAGAGAATACCTTGGAGCTCCCATAGATGATTTGCACATCCAGACTTAGGAACTTTGGTTTCTATCCTTGACAGTTTGTAGGGTCCCCATCATTACCTTCATCCTGGAGGAATTTTGGCTTCTGGGTACTTTCCAACTAATTAGGGTCCCTAGGAAGGCTGGGGCAGGATGGAGTGGGGGCGGAGACAGAACTAATGGGACTCATGAATTAAGTTCTCATGACTGCCAGGTTTTAGAGTGGAAGGTCCAGGACATTCCATCAAACCAGTTTTCCAGAGATTTGCCAGATTCTAGCTATTGCAAAGACTATTAACAGCCCTATTTGGGGATCCCTGGGTGGCGCAGATGTTTGGCGCCTGCCTTTGACCCAGGGCGCGATCCTGGAGACCTGGGATCGAATCCCACGTCGGGCTCCCGGTGCATGGAGCCTGCTTCTCCCTCTGCCTGTGTCTCTACCTCTCTCTCCCTCTCTCTGTGACTATCATAAATAAATAAAAATTTAAAAAAAAAAACAGCCCTGTTTGACTCTGGTGTGGGGCTCCCATCATAAGCAGAAACTACTATGTGCAGAAACTGCTCCTTCATTTGCACTCACTTGCCCTTAACGTGCCCTATTTGGACCCAAGTAGAAGTAAAGTCTTAAACTAAAGACCAAACAAATATTTACCAGCCAAACAAATATTTATCCAATCTACATTCTTTTCACAATGTACCAGTCAACTCAGGAGTCTTAAAAGTCTTCTCTTTAATCCTTAGTTAATATCTTTCCCCACAAAAACCTTACCAGAGTTTTGTTTTTAACCCCCTGACCAAGGGGTGGGCACCTGGCTCAATCTGGATTGCCTGAACTCTTTCCCTAGACTTTGAACCTTGGACAAGTTAGCCAAAGACCAAAAAAGTGGGCTGGCGCACTTATTCATTCAGGCATGGTGGTGAGATGGTCCCCCCTGCCTCCCAGACTCTGGGACTGCCAGTTTCTTATCCTGTTCTGAGTCTAGTTTTTTAGCCTCGCCTTAAATCTTTTTAATATATTCCTTCGTTTCTTGAGTTACCAGGAATAGGTTTCTGTTTCTGACCAAGAACCGTGGTACAGTTGGTGAAGAGGTAAAAGAGAAGGCAACGACGGGAATAACCCACAAATTATGTAGTCAAATACTGACTTTATTTGTCTGATTTAAACTGATCCAAATCATGAGTGTGTGATTCTTTTCATCTACTATGTGTATAAATCAGTGCTTAGATACAGTTCCTGCCCTTTAGGAACATACAATTTAGTTATAAAATAGGACTGCACAAATGAAATCATTAGATATGGAATATTTACTGTGTGCTGAGCACTATGCTGAATTCTTCACATGGATGACTCATTTAATCCTCCCAAATACCTTATAAAGTAATACCATTATCTTTTCCATTCTATGGAAGAATTAATTCAGGCACAGAGAGTGTAAGTAACCTGCCCAAAGTGACATTGCCTAGTGAATGGTGGAGACGGGATCCAAACACTGGCAGTCTGGCTCCATAAACCCCCCTTCACCACTGTGTTATGCTAGGATGAATGTAAGAGTTCTGGAAGGTCAGAAAGGGGGAGATGAATGTGGCCAGGGTGATTAGGGGAGGCCTCAAGGGCCTCTTGCTTCTGGAGCTGATTCCCCTAGGCTGGGTGGATTCCATGCTGAGAGGGGAGAAAAGAGTGTCTTGGGGAAGAGAGGAGAGTCCGTGTGGCAGAAGCAGAAACACAGAGCTGGGACTGAGAAATAGACTTTAGGCGACTAGGAAACAGGAAACGTATAGAGAGAGGGTCCTTTGTTCATTGTTCAAGGAACAATTGGGTAATTACGAGGAAGGTCAGATCATAAACAGTCTTGAAAGACATGTCAACCACTATGAGCTGAGTTTAAAAACTGAGTTTACCTTGCAGTGAGGAGCCCTGTGGCTTTTACAAGAGTAACAGCTAAGAACTTCATTTTATTATAGAAAATCGCAAACATCTACAAAGATATGGAGGGTAGTATACTAAACCCCCATGTACCTACTATCCAGATTTTAGCAATTATCAGCTCACAACTGTGTCTCATCTATATCCCCACCCACTACCCCACCAAGATTATTATTATTTTTTAAAAATATTTAATTAAAAAATAATTTATTTATTCATGAGAGACAGAGAGAGGCAGAGACACAGGCAGAGGGAGAAGCAGGCTCCACGCAGGGACCCGGATGCAGGACTCAATCCAGGGACCCCAGGATCAAACCCTGAGCCAAAGGCAGATGCTCAACCACTGAACCACCCGGGTGCCCCCTGCCAAGATTATTTTGAAGTAAATCACAGGCATCATATTATTTCATCATCATACATATTTCAGTATATGTAGAAAATCCCAAGGAATCTATCTTTAAAACCCTATTAGAACTAATAAGTGAGTTTAGCAATATTGCAGGATATAAAATAATCGTACAAAAACCAATTGCTAAAAAAAAGAAAAACAAAACCAATTGCTTTTCTATTTACTAGCAATGAACACCAAAATTGCAAATTTACAATCACTTAAAAAAAAAAAAACACTTAGGTGTAAATCAGAAAAAATATGTACAGGATTTGTATGCTGTAAGTACAAATTGCTGATGAAAGAAATCAAAGATCTACATGAATAGAGAGGTATATTATGTTTGTGGATCGGAGACTCAACAGAGTGAAGATGTCTCCAAATTTATATGCAGATTTGATGCAAGTCCTATCAAAACCCCAGCAAGATATTTTGTCTGTATGAACAAGATTATTCTAAGTTTTATATAAAAAGACAAAGAAACAAGAATAACTAAAATAATTTTGAAAAATAAGAATAAAATAGGAATCAGTCTACCTAATTTCAAGACTTATTATGTAGCTACGGTAATCAAGGATTGCATGATATTGGTGATTACACATAGATTAATGGAACAGAATAGAGAACCCAGAAATAGACCCACACAAATCCACCAATCTGATTTTTGACAAATATGCAAAAGCAAGTCAATGGAAGAAAAACAGCCTTTTCAATAAATTTTGCGGAAGCAATTGGAAATCCACAGGCAAAAAATGAAGCTTGATCTAATTCTCATACCTTCACAAAAGTTAATTTAAAATAGATCACAGGGGACGCCTGGGTGGCTCAGTGGTTGAGCAACTGCCTTTGGCCCAGTGTGTGATCTTGGAGACCCAGGATAGATTCCGCATTGGGCTCCCTGCATGGGGCCTGCTTCTCCCTCTGCCCATGTCTCTGCCTCTCTCTTTTTCTGTCTCTCATGAATAAATAAAATATTTTAAAAATAAATAAAATAAAATAGATCACAGACTTAAATGTAAAATCATAAAACTTGTAGGGAAAAAAAGAAAAAGAAAATCTCAGAATCTATGGCTAAACAAAGACTTCTTAGATTGGACACCAAGAGCATGATTTATAAAAGGAAAAACTGATAAATTAGACTTCATCAAAATAAAGACTTTTGATCTGCAAAAGTTAAGGATGAAAAGGCAAGCTACGAATAGGGAGAAAATATTTGCAAACCACACACCCAACAAAGAGCTACTATCTAGAAAGTACTCTCAAAACTCTATAGTAAATGTATGTCCATGACATCTCCATTAAAAAGAATTAAAGAAAAAGCTCAACAGTAATAAAATAAGCAAACCAATAAGAATATGAACAAAAGAAGAGACATTTCACTGAAAAGGGTATACAGATGGCAAAAACAAGCACATGGGAAGATGTTCAATATAATTAGTCATTGGGGAAATAAAAATTTAAACCACAACATATCACTATATATCTATTAAAATCACTAAAATAGAGAATAGTAAAAGCACTAAATGTTGGCAAGGATACAAAGAAACTGTATCACTCATTCATTGCTGGTGGGAGTATAAAATGGGCTAGCCAATCTGGAAAACAGTTTGTCAGTTTCTAGTAAGACTAAACATGCAACTACCATGTGACCCATCAATTTCAACCTTACCCAAAGAAATGAAAGCATATATTCACCCAAAAACCTGTACATGAATGCTGATGGTAACGTTATTTGTCAAAAACTGGAAACAACCCAGATATCCTTCTACAGCTGAATGGCAAAACAGACCATATAGTACATCCATACCTCAGCATACTACTCAGAATTAAAAGGAATAAATTA